CTATTTTGTATTTTATTTAGAGACAGGGACTCACTGAGTTGCTTAGTGCCTCATTTTTGCTGAGGCTGGCTTTGAACTCACGATCTTCCTGTCTCAGCCTCTTAAGCTGCTGGGATTACAGGCATGTGCCATCATGCTGGGCTAACTTTTTCAGTTTTGAAGAAGAAATTAACAAAATAATTTTCAAAAGTTAATTCTTAAAACTGGAAAAAATCCTAATGTTCTTCAGCAGTTTAATGGTTAAGTGTACTGTGGTACATCCATATGATGGACATATACTCAGCAATAAAAAGAACAAGCTACTGATATATGCAACAACTTGGATGGATTTCAAAGAATTACACTGAGTGAAAAAAACAATTTCAAAAGGTCACACGCTGTACTATTCAATTTTAGAATATGGTTGGCTTTTTTTGCACCCAGCACTGGGGATTCCCTCCAGGGCCTCACACATGCTAGGCAAGCACTCTTATCACTGAGCGACATCCCCAGCCCTTTACAACATTTTTATTTTGAGATGGGGTCTCACTAAATTGCCCAGGCTGGCCTTGAACTTGTGATCCTCATCATAGCTTCCTGAGTAGTTAGGATTACAAGTGCACCACCATGCTTAGCTTGAGGGATCCTTGCTGTGTATCTGTGAAGGCAACACAAATCTATACGATAAAATTTCAGAGAACAAACTACATACACATACATACATGCACAAATAAGTGCATGTCACACTGAAATCTGAATCAGGGTGATGGAAAGTACCAATGTCAATTTTCTGGCTGTGATACTGTACTACAATCATGAAAGACGTTACCATGGGGAGAACCCGGGTAAAGAGTATATGGGTCCCTCGGTATTACTTCTTACAACAATATGAAATTTGCAATGCTCTACAGATGAGAAGTTAAAAGAACCAATTCTGGAGCCATAATTATGGTACAGGGAGGGCCTGCTGTGAAATAGAAGCTCCCTGTGCTTTTCCTTAAAGACAGCCACTGTCCCCTGGGACCAGGGCTGGGGCCGATGAGACCTCCATAAGCAGATGGTGGTTATCTTTTTGCCTTGCATCAGTATTTTCTGGTTTGTGAAAATTCAGTAAATCCCAATTATGGAAATCACAAGGGGACTGGAGAGGACAAAATAGTAATGGAATTAAAAATGTTCCTATAATTACAAAAAAATACAGATATAAAAGTCTTTTCTTTAAAGAAAAGACCTGTAGGTTAGCTGGGTGAGTGGTGCACACCTATAATCCCAGTGGCCTGGGAGGCTGAGGCTCAGGAGGCTGAGACAGGAGGACTGCAAGTTCAAAGCCAGCCTCAGCAACAGAGAGGCGCTAAGCAACTCAGTGAGACCCTGTCTCTAAATAAAATACAAAAGAGGGGCTGGGGTTGTGGCTCAGTGGCAGAGTGCTTTCCTTGCACGTGTGAGGCACTGGGTTCGATCCTCAGCACCACATAAAAATAAACAAATAAAATAAAGGCAAGCTGTCCATCTATAACTACAAAAATAAAATTTTTAAAGTACTAAATAGGGCTGGGGATGTGGCTCAGTGGTTGAGTGCCCCTGAGTTCAATCCCTAGCACCCCAAAAAAAGGTTACATACAGATGTGAGCATGAACGGAATAACACTTTTCCTCCCTGGGTGATACCGATATAATACAAAATACATAAGTGATCTCTTCCCTGATTCCAGACACAGAGCTCCTAAAACCCTTGAAATTTCCTGAGCAACAGGACTGCTAGGAGAATCTTTTGTTCTAACATTTGGTCTTTTCCTGACATAGAGCTCCTAAATCTCTCGGGAGTTCATAAGTGAGAGGAATATCTTTTGTTCTAATGAAGGAACCCTACTGTTTTACTTTTTTTAAGACAGGGTCTCCTTAAGTTGCTGAGGCTGGCCTCAAACTTGTGATCCTCCTGCCTTGGCCTCACAAGTCACTGGGATTACAGATGTGCACCACCACATCCAGCATGAAGGGGACTCTTGCTGGGCTTCTGGGTAACCTCGGATGGGGGCATGTTGCCTGGGTGTGATTAGAGGGCTGGAAATTCCAGCCCCACCTCCTGATCTACTGGGAGGAAAAAGGTGTTTAATGTTGAGCTGATCACCAATGGCCAGTGATATAATCAATCAAGCCTAATTAATGAAGCCTCCACACAAATCCAAAAGGACAGGTTCACAGAACTTCCAGGATGCTAAAGGTGCCCACTTACCTTGCCTTATACCTCTTCATCCAGCTGGTCATCTGTATCCTTTTCAACATCCTTTATAATAAATGGGAAAATGTAAGTCAACTGTGTCTGAGTTCTGGAAACCTCCTAATTAGCTGGTGGGAGGTGGTCATGGGTACTTCTGATTTATAGCTCATCAGCAGCACAGGTCACAACCTGAGGCTTGAGACTGGCATCTCAAGTTTTGTGAGACTGGGCCCTTAACCACAGAGGTGATGTCTGAATGGAGTTGAATTGGAGGACACTTGGCAGGCGTCCGCTGGTGACCTGCTCGGCATGTGGGAGGAGTCCCCGCGCAGTTTGGACACAGACATGTGCTGGTTGGAGCACGACTGGCTTAGCTGCTTGTCCTGTGCAATGAAGCAATGAGGACGGCACCCTGACACCCCCACCCCCCAGCAGGCCTGGGGGGACAGTGGGAAGGGAGGAGGGGAAAACCCAGTGGGAATTTTACAGTGAGGAGAAGGAGATCCCAGGTTCACAGATAAAAGCCCAGGCTCCAGACAGCAGCAGTAGGCTCACCATGCTCTGCCTCCTGCCTCTGCTCTGTCCTTAAGAAACTATTCTCAGTGCCCCCCAATGCTGTGTGCTCGTGTCCATCCTTGGCACAGCCCACCCTGTGCCCTCCTGATCTTCCCCACCTGAAAACCCCTTCCAAGGCGCTCAGCAGCACCCTTCTCTAGAGGACCTCGGGCTCACAAGGGTCTCTTTCCTTTCCTGGAGGCCAACTGCACATGGTGACCCAGGCACTTATGTGCACACGTTGTTTCCTACCAGACTCGTCTCCAGTAGGACAGACTTGTATGGTTTCTCCTTGCCCAGCACCCATCTCACATGAAATACTTGATGAATAAAAGCAGGCCTTCCGAGATTTAAGAAAAAAATACCAAATGAGTGACACTGTCGGAACAAGAAACTTTCCAACATCACAGAAAAACAAGATGGTAGATTTATCCCTGCCTCTGACAAGGACGTTAGATTCTAAAGAGAATGAGTATACCAAGGGTCTATCTTTGGAGTGTGTATATGATACCCAATTGCTGCCCCCAGCCTTCAGGAGGGTATGAAAAGGGAAGTTATAAAGGAGGGGTGTGATTGATAATCACAGAACCATCTTTCCACAGCAAACACAATCGACCTTCTAAGAGATTGTCCAGTAGCGTAGAGACCACTGATGGCTGCCTGGGCCTTCAGCCCAGGGATGTCCACAGCAGCCTCCTGCTGACAGAATGAATGACTCCTGTTTTTTTCCTTTGCTTCTGCTCCATGAAGCCACTGAAATGACACTGGGTCTCTCCGCAGTTCTGCCAACCACTGAATCAGGGAAGGAGCTCCCTGCGTGTGAATCCAGCCATGTTCAGATTGAATGCATTTCTATAATAAATGATAATTTTAAAACTTTTTTTTAAGCATCATTGTTTCTATGTGGCATCTATAAGGACAGCATTATACCATTTGTGTTTTGGGGGACAGGAGCACAAAATCAAGTGGCCTAGAAGGCTCAGCCCTTTCTTCCCAGCAGGCCCACTAAGCAACCTTTTGTTTCTGATGCGCAAAGAAACAGACCTGTTTTCCTTGCCAAGTTCAAAGGTACTTTGGAACTCAGCTTATACTATTTTTAAAGACAAACAGGAAAAAGGACTGAGGTGCTTTTAATAATCCATTCTGAGGCACAGAGAATATCAACCATGGCCAGCATCCAGACCTACATGTTTCCAATGTGAATATTTAAAAAATATTAGACTTTGGGGCTGAGGCTGTGGCTCAGTGGTAGAGTGCCTGCCTAGGATGTGTGAGGCCCTGGGTTCAATTCTCAGCACTGTATATAAATAAATAAAGGTCCATAAACAACTAATAAAATATATTTTTTTAATTATACACTTTTGTTCTGGTAACTTGAAAATTTGAAAAGAATTCACATATTAAAAGAGGACAGTATGTAATATTTTAAACTTGAAAATGCTTCATACCTACTATGAAGGATCTTTAGTTTTGGAAGATAATATATATATTCTGATCATTCATCTTCTACTATTTAATATTTAAACTATTTCAATTTGTTTAAATGCTGGTTTTTATCCACTAAACTGATTTCATAATCCATTACAGAGGCCTGACTTGTACTTTGAAACACAGCAATGTGCAGCATTCTCCTGTTATGGGACATGTAGTTATTTATGTTCCTTAAGTTAATCAACTTGGAACCACAAAATTCCAAGAAATAGGAACTTCAACAGAAAAACAAAAGGACAAAAAAATTTTTTTTCTACCCTGGCATATACAAAATGCAAAGAGCTGAAAATCATTCAGAAGAAATAATGGATATGTGAGTTGTAACCACTTGGAACATAGACAAATTGAGGCAAAGTTTGAAGAGAGTTCAAATAAGAATGAGGCATTCACTAGGTGCCTGCCAGCTTGTACAGAGGCAGAGGAAGCTTCAGTAGCAATGCTGGGGATGCAATTTCATCTTCCTGTTGCTAAACAAAATAATTTTAATACTCTCAGAGCTGAACCTTAAATTTCAAATTCCATTTTCTCCTATCAGATGAACAAAGTAAATCAGCATTTACTTTAAAAACTGGAGGACTGTCAAGCATGGTGACATGTGCCTATTAATCCCAGCAACTTGGGAGGCTAAGGCAGAAGGATCACAAGTTCAAGGCCAGCCTTACAACTTAGTGAGGCCCCTAGCCAATTAGTGAGACTCTGTCTCAAAATGAAAAATAAAAAGGGCTGGGGGTGTGGTTCAGTGGCAAAGCACCTCTGGGTTCAATCCCCAATACCAAAAAATAAAAATAAAAACTGGAGAACTGACTTTAGTCACATTCAAAGCAGATAACTCTAGTTAGAAGTAAGGTTAAAGCCATGTTTATAGCAGCACAAATACAACAGCTAAGTCATGGAACCAGCCTAGGTGTCCATCAACACATGAATGGATAAGTATCTATACACATGCACAATAGTTTAATCCAGCCATAAAGAAGAATGAAATTATGTCATTTGCAGGAGAAAGGAACTGGAGGATAGTGTGTTGAAGAAGCCAGATGCAGAAAGTCAAGTGTTCTATGTATTCTTTCACATGTGGAAGCAGGAAAGAAAAAAGGAAAAAAAGGATCTCATGAAAATGGAAGAAAGATTAGCAAGAGAGAGGAAGGGGACCAATGGGGAGGGAGGAGGGGAGGCAAGGGAAGTGCTGGGGATTGAAACTGAGGGAACCTGTGGTGAGCAGGTACAAACCTGCCACAATGGAACCCACTCTGCTGTATAGCTGTTATGCACAAATATAAAAATTTTTAAAGTAGGGTACAAATGACTCAGTGATGTACAACTTTCATTTTTCCCCCTTCAAATAATTACTAGGACTGTATTCCTCAAGGGAAAGCAGTTGAAGGAGAAATGAAAACAAATACATTTTAACAATCCTTAAGTACAGCATATATTTACAATTTCAGTATTATACAGAAGGCCACTATCCATCTGTTCATTTAAATGTATCAATTTCTGAAGTTACAGTTCTCATAGGCCCACTTGTCAATTAAATTAATGTCCACCATCCTTTGACTCAGAGACTCTGTCACAGCTGACTTGGTCAGGAGAGCCCCACTTGTGGTTCAGGGCTAAGACCCTGGGGCCGGTGCTCTTCCCCATGGGAACTTCCATCGTAGTCGCTCAGCTCTGTGCACCTGCCCTCCCACTCCAGCGATGTCCAGGCCAGGGCAGCCAAAGAATAGGAAAGGCTCATGAGCAGCTGCTACTGCGGCCGTCTGTGAGGGCAACACATTCCCACCCCCTGGGTTTTGGAGCTTCCCTCCTGGCAGAGAGCTTTTTACCAGCATTGACGGGGTCCTCTGGAATTACAACACCGACCACCTGTAGGTTCAGAAAGTGCTTTCAAGCAGGCAGTGACACCCACACCCGGTGGGACACACCTCCTGAGTCCGAAACCACTCCATCATGTGGCTAGTGTGGCCCCCGTGACCACAGGTCAGGCAGAAATTGGACGACCCCCGCACGGCCACGTGGCAGATGGCACACTGGAACGTGAAGCCTTTACAGATGGCACACTGTGTGCCCCGGACCTCGCTCCGGCAGTGGCTGCAGTACACGCCAAACTCTGGAAATGGGTGAAGGTGACAAAACAAGAGGCACTGTGAGTTTGGTTTTGAAAAAAGAAACAGCTCTGTCACTTCCCCAGGAAAACAGAAGCCTCTGAATGGAGACCCTTCCTCTTCACACCACCATCTCTGCAAGTCTCCCAGGGCTACACATCCTTTCCTAACTTCTGACAATGGGCACAGCTTTTATGACAGAATTACTTATCAAGGAGTAAATAAAACTTCAAACAATGGCTGTCACACAAACTTCCTTTTCATGAAAAAATACATAAATTCAATAATAACTTGACTTTCTTACCAGACTATACATGGATAAATCACATTTATAGACCAGGTCATACTTCAAATGTCACATTTAAATTCAAGTCTTATTTAATTGGCTATGAATAAGCCATTATTTAGAGGAGAAACATGCTTCATTATATGGACATAAAGTCTACAAATCTTCCCAGAAAACTACTTTTTGGCCTGATGTAAGTAGAGATGTCGTGTCCTGACAGGCCAGGAATACTGACACACGTGGGTACCACAGGTTGAGGCTATTACTACTGTAGTATAAGTTCTGCAGCTGAAACCTGGGAGAGGTGAAACGGATCGTTCTTGGTTCCTGAGAGACAAACTATTAAGGACAATAAAAATACTTGTGGTGCACAGAACAATTATATTACGATCCCAGGGCTTTATGAAACCTCCAGGCAGAAGCTAATTCCAAGGCCTAAGTGGAAGAAGGCTCTAGTGTGTTAACCTCACAACAAGGAGAGTTTTGTACATTAACCAAATTGCCTACACACAAATGTAAGTAGAACCAGCCAAATAAACAAGCCGTTGAATTAATAAATTGAAGCAGGAAGGAATCATCCCCAGGAGAGGCTTGTGAGGACAAAGCACTTGCTTTGCTCTGCCACTGTTACGACCAAGCACTGCATATCACATGGGAAAAAAGCAAAACAACAAAAATCATAAAGAAATACCCTGGCTAGCATTAGCCTCCCCAGTACAGGAGGCCTAGAGCCCTGTCATAAATATCTAACCTCCTAAATGGAAACGACTTTATCATCCCTCGAATTTGCTATGCTGATGCCCATATATCTGGGATGACCCTTGCAGATGAGAGAAGCTGAGAGGAGCCTGCTGGTATCCCCATAAAGACAATGCCTGTGCTTTGGGGGCCTGCTGGTATTTTTCTTTCAAAACCTTCTGCGTCCTATACCTGGGGAGCCAATTCCCCTAAAGTTGTAAAATTTTGCAGATCAAAGCACTTCTCGATTGTTTTTTTCTGTGTTCTTCTACAATTCTTCCACCTCCTTTAAAAAATCTTGTGACATTGTTTGTATTGGTATTAGGATATATTATGAACCTTGCTTAGGTGGTTCCTGGGTTTATGTTTCAGACTCTGATTGGATTATAGACTTCTTGCTCCCACTCACCAAACATCTATTCCTTCGTACATCCCACAGAATTGTAGAAGTCAATAAGGGTTTAGCTGACTGATGCACTGACACATCAGTTCCATATCTCTGTGATTCATGTTTTCCTAAAAACTAATTTTAAAAGACAAATTGCTCTAAGCTATCATTAATCTCTTTCTAGTATACTTTCCTGCTGTTAGACACTATGAAAAAATGTACTGCTCAAATAGCATTTCATGCCTGTATTTCTTCAAGTATGTATACTGAAATAAATCATACTAAAATAATTCTTATTATTCACTGTTTAAATCTATGTATTGCTGTTTTTTTTCTTTTTTAGTTAAAACTATTGGCACAATTTAAAGAGTCAAATAGTTCTATGCATCTTGGTACAAAGCATTTCCAGCATTTCCTGTTACCCGCACCCCTTTTGAACCATCTGACTGCTTCATTTCTTTTTCCCTCCTTATCTCTAAACAACATGTTTATAAGGCTATTTCTTAAGCGTCACATGTAGGCACTGCCCACTGGCTGTCCACAGTGAAAACACTCCCCTAGTCTCCCAACGACAGGCACACCACTTGCTCGCGCCTCCCCTGCACAGTTCTCCCCTGGCTGGATCACGTTCTGCTTGAGCATCATTTACCCATGCAAACATCATTCAAGTCATGTACTATGACACTTTCCCTTTCTTGAACATTTTGTTTTTCCCAGAGTTAGTGACTGTCTCACTTTTTCATTTGTTTAGTTTGCTATGTACTTATTAATAATTCATCTCTGAACTCTCCTTCAAATAACTGATCTTCTATAAATACACTGAACACTGAGCTATACTAGATAATTTCTTCAATTTTCTCTTGCTGGAGCCAGGACTCCTGACTGGTTTATGCCCCTGTCTGTATGGTAAGCACCCCCTATCAGCACTCCAGCTTCCTTATTTATGGGAATGAATCTAGTCCTCCCTAGATAGGCTCAGGCTGACTTTTATACATGATTGACAACTGATTAGAAATCATTTCCTTGAGAATTCTGGAGGCATTCCTGCATTGTTATCTTGTATCCAGAGATGTGATGAGGTATGATGCCATTTATATTCCTTACCCTTTGTATGTGACCTCGTTGTTTTTCTTTCTAGAAGTTTCCAGGGTGTCTTCGGTATCCCCCATCTTTCTTTGGCCATTATGCTAGGTACCTGGCATGGAGCTACCACTAACTCACCCAGATCCCAAATTTTATTGCTAACATTACTTCTCCTTGCAAAGGTATACCTTTTCAGAAAAACTGTATATAGACAGTAATGGTAGGGTCTGGAGAGAGAGGAAATCAATGTTGTGTTCAGTCACTCTCTTCAGGAGTCTTCCATTTCTTCCTCTTAGAAAAAACCTCTTTGCTTAGGTTCTTTCACATCATTGCCCATCTTTTCCTCAAAACTTACTGATGTCTCACTCTGTCTCCACTCTGGTTCTTCCTCCAGGGCCCAGCTCCCAGGGTGGGCAGGCTCTTATCTGTGCTCCCCACACCCTCCCTTCCCATGCCCACCCAGCTCCTAGGTAAACACGCCCATTCTCACAGCTCAAATACTGTCCACATGCTGGAGATCCCCAAATTCCTAGCTCTAGCCCCCAAATCTCCTGAGCACCAGACTCACATCTAACCTCCCACAGACTCCTCCCATCCCAAATTTCACACACATCTCTGACTATCTCAAACTAAGTTCACAATTTTTTTTCCTGTATTTTCCATCTGAGAAAACAACAGTCACCTACTTAGTTGCTCAAGTTGGAAATCCAGTAATCACCCAAACTTTGTCTCTCTTCCTTAATCTCATAACCAAATTATTAGCCAGTCATGTTGAGCCTAACTCTGAAGTATATATATATGTATTTTTTTGTGTGTGTGGTCCTGAGTGCATGCAAAGCAAGCACTCTACCAACTGAGCTATATCCCTAGCCTTAAAATATATTTTTAATCTCTCTTTCTCTCTGTTGTGACACCACCCTCAGACTAGGCCACAGAGCTCTTGGATCACAACAACGGCCAAATGGTCTTCCTATTCCTACTCGGCCCTCCTCTGGTCCTCCTCTAACAGCCAAGGTGATCCTCTTAAAACGGAAGACAGCACATGTCACTTCCTTCTTAATGCCCTCCGAAGCTCACCACTGGACTCAGAATACAACCTAAATCCTTTACCACAGCGTACAATTCCATGCTGGCTATGGCCCTAATAATCCCACAATCTTAATTTTTAAAATTCTTTCTATGTTATTTAATTTTTTTATCAATATGTTTTTAATTGACACAGAGAAACTGTACAATGTGGCATTTCAATACATGTACACAGTGGGCTATGATCCCTTCAGGGAGAGCCATCTCCATCGCTTCAGACTCACATCATTTCTGTGTCAGAAACCTATAGGATCCTCTTTTAGCTATTTTGAAATAGTCAACAGTTACCTTACTGAGCTACAGAATATTAAAAGTTATTCCGCCTATCCAACCATATCCCTGCACTCTAATTTTGTACCACTCTTCTCACTTATGGGTTCTGGCCACACCGGCCTCCCTTCATTTGTTCAAAAATGACAAGTCACCTCCTCATGAGCTGCTTCTCTGAATGGGACGCCGCTCTTCCCACTGACCTTCCCAGACAGTCCCTTCTCAGCCTTCAGGCCTTGGCTCCTTGGAGAAGCCCTTCCTACTGGCCTTGACCCATCTCTTAGGATTCACCTTCCTGCTCTCCCTGCCCCAACGTTATTTTTGTTTGCTCATTACTATTTGTCACAATTTGTGATTATTTACTTTTTCTCCTACCAGCTGTGAGTTCCATAAGGGAGAAAAAGACTGCGTGAGCACCGAGCGCTGGGCTTTCCGGGGGCTTGAAGGGGCTCCACATGCGTTAGTTAAACAAGGAGCGAGCACCCCACTTCCAATCCATGCTGAGTACTGGATCTGAGACTACCTCTTTACAATTGAAAATGAATCTTGTTATCAAATGCAAAGGTTTTCAGGAGCTTAGTTAAGATTCAACATGTTTCTGAAATTTGGCCTATAAATGAGAAGGGAAGACTTCACTCTAAGTCTGAGGTTGTAGACAAATTAAATGCCAGGATCTTCGAAATGGTGACAGGAAAGAAAAGAAATTCACACTCACCAATCCCTTTGTGGGGATCAGGGGGACAGGACACAAACTTGAGCACTTCTGCTCGCTTCTCTCTTAGCCCCCAACGGTAGAGGATCTCTCCATAGCATTTCTTAAAGTCGTCAAACTGCTGGGTGTTAGCAGGGTCCAAAAGCCTGGATAAAATTCAAGATTTCCTGTCAGTTTCAGAAAACATAAGCTCGATACCAAATGGCATTTAATGTGTCTTTCTTTCAAGCAAGAGTCCTGATCTGGGAGAGCTGAGTTCTGGATCTGCGCTCCTGCCTGGGAAGGCTGTTACCTTTTATTTTTATCATGTTGGTCCCGTTCCCGCTCTCGAGGATCACTGTAGGTCAGACTCCCGAAGCGGAGTTCTTCTGGCGAGGACTCTCCCCAAGGCGAAGACAAGTGCTCTGCGTCTCTTCCCGCTGAAGAAAAGCAAAGGCGAAGAGCAATGAGTGAAGGCCAGCAGACACCTGAAAACTCTCAAGCCACAGTGTCGTCAACTGAGTCCCTGGTAGAAAATAAGCTAAGCTGAAGATTCTGAGAAATATTTCTACCTCTTTGTCCAGGTTTTTACTACTAAGGGAACCTGATCATTAAGTGCACTCAATAATTAAGGAAATTATAGTATACTGACACAGAATGTAATGGGTGATTATTTATAAAGATTTGTTAAATGACATGAGAAAATACTCTTGATAAAATTAAAAGCCGAACGCAATCTAGCATATATAGAATAACCACCCACACACGTACACATACTGGAAGAAAATGTTCTGCAATGTTAATGGATGTTATTTCCTAGGTAAGGGAGATCAATAATTACAATTTTTTTCTCTAATATTTTTTGTCTGTATTTCTTCCCTGGGCATGTACTACTTTTATTTATTTGTTTTGGCTTTATTTTATTTTTTAAAAGATTGGGTCTTGCTACCTTGCCCAGGCTGACTTAGAATTCCTGAGATCAAGCGATCCTCTAGCCTTAAGCCTCCTGAGTAGCTGGGACTACAGGAACATGCCATCCTGCCTGGCTCATGCACTACTTTTATAATCAAGAAAATTAAGATTATTTTTAAAAAGAAATTTCCAAAATCCTGGAAAACACAGAGACACCCACTCATGAAACAGACCCTCACGACCAGCTGGAGTCAGGCCCAGTTTTATTTCTCTACACTGAAAGTGGTCTTGGGAAAAGGTGGGTGATAGGAAGTGGCAGATGATCCTGGAAAGGGCCACGTGAAGGAGAAAGGAGAAAAGCTGGATTTGGGGGGCAGAGCAGAAGTACCAAGTTTATCAAGGTTTATCAAGGCTGCGAGATGGAACTGAAGACCTTTCAAGATACAAGGTCAGGCCTTGCTGGAACAGCATCCCTCCCACACCAAAGTGAGAGAACTGAGAACCAAAAACATGGGGAGCAACATGCACTAACTGAAGATTCACGTGGACAACAGCTTCTAGAGTACTGAGAACCCAGCGCGGCCTGGGTCCTTCCACACCAACCTATGTTCCAGCCTCCGGTGCTGAGCCCTGGGTCCGACATACTGGAGCAGGAACCCGAGGAGGTGAAGCTGGGCTACAGGTGGGAGGAGGAACACACTGGCATCAGAACACTGGTCCACACCACAATTCACATCAAGGAAAAATTAGACACGAGCCAGAGAACCACAACTTACATATCGACTGTGGGACACCATGAGATTAGAAGACCGGTTAGGAAAAGGCCCGAAGGGGTTCGGGATGCCCTGAGGCCGAGACTGGGCTTCGAACACACTGCAGAGCATTGCCAAGGTCTGCACGTCCCGGAGTCGGCAATAATGAGCCAGCCTGGAAAAGTAGGTGCCAGGAAGGAAACAAGTCAAGCAGGGGACGAGGAAGGACATCTCGCAGTCTCTGCCATGAGTAGGTGCCTCAAACCCTGTCAGGAACTGGGGCCTTCTGCAGGCTCTGACCTGCTTTGAATCTGGCTACACTTGAGTTGGAATAAAAGGTATCAAAGTCTTACGAAGGGCCTAGATCCCCACCCTGAGAGTTCCTGACTGGCAGTGAGGCTAGAGCCCCAACACAGTGCAGCTTCTCCCCAAGAACCAAGTGGGTTCACCTCACATCTGAGTGAGGAGGAGTCTGCGCCTCCTCAGGCTCCCCAACTCTGAGGAAGACTCTCACTGCTTTGGGGGCACTTCCCATGTTGCTCATTCATACAGTGTGAAGCTACAGACGGTGCCCAGAAACACCCTGCTGCCATAGTATGGTGGAAAGGCCACTGACTCTGGAGATGGACTTGTGACTAGGAGCTATTAAATAAGAATGACAAGGAATAAATATTTTACCTTTTAGGTATTCCTGTTCCCTTTGTCTTTTGGGACTACCCTACCCTAGAATGTGAGCTAGGGATCAGAGGGACTTTGCCCCTGGGATGGAATAATACACCTTCCTAGCACTCAGGTTTGAACTTTTTAAATTGTTTTATACTATCTTTCAGAAGGCTTACCTCAAGTAAGTAGAACAAATGTTACCATCCCTGTGTGGAGGATAAGGCAGTGGGAGCACACGAGCAGGTGTCCCAGGTCTGGCCTCAACAGGTAAATAAAGCAAACCTCAACCTGCAGAAGTGGAGTTTCCTTGCCTGGGACTAGGCCTCAACATTATGGACATTCAAGTCATTTTACTCCGTGGTAAATTATTTTCTATCTTATAATTCTAGCTTGCCATATATCAGTGTAATAAATTAAACACAAGTTCAATGTTTCTATGTGTGGCCCAACGGTGTGAAAGCGCCCAGTGTTGGGAAAATCAATACAGACACACCATTCTCTTATCTCTTCCCTGGGGCCAGACCCCACAGCATCTAAGGAGAAACTCACCTCCAGATCTGGGTTCACACAGATGTGATTCACAGGCTAAAGCACGTGTCTTCAGGCGTCTCTAACCTTTGTTATAAGTGACAGATACTATATACTACCTTTTGCTGTAAGAAATTCATTCTGTACAGAGGTAATTTCAGCACTAAAAGGAAAGATCCTACTTTTTCCTCTCATTTCTTAGGCCTCTAAAACTTTCTTTTTTTTTTTTTTTTTTGTTTTTTGGTTGAACCCAAGGCTTTGGGCTTGAGAGACAAGCACTCTACCAACTGAGCTATACCCCCAGCCCTGCAACTTTCCCTGAGGCAATAATATTTAATGTGTTTACAGACCAAAAATCGACATCATTCATTTTTCTCACTTTTAGCTCTCAAAACCTACAGGGACTCCAGTAGCTGTCGCCCAAATGGATGCCGAGCCCAGGGTGTTTCCAAATCTGGGTCAGACTTCGGACCAAGGCAAAGATCTGTAGCTACTGTAGCCAGTGACCACACCTGGAGAGATGAAAGAGAGACACTCAGACTGATGAGGACAGGAACAGAACCATGAAGGAACCCCACCTCCCCTCCATCTACAACCTAAAACCCTGCTATGGAGCGCATCGAAAGCTGGGAGCTTGCTCAAATGCAGAAGGTCCCGCTCAGACTGACCAAATCAGAATCTGCATTTTATAAGATCCTCAGAGGACCTGTATACACTATAAAGTTTGAGAAACACTAGCCTCAAAACATCATTAAAGGGCTGGGAATGTAGCTCAGTGGGAGAGTGCTTGCCTAGAACGTGCAAGGCCCTGGGTTTGATCCCTGGCCCTGGGTTTGATCCCAACCCTGGGGCTGCAGTGGGGGGAAGAGTTCATTAAATGAATTTCAGAGAAATGACTGCAATAATTTCAAGGTGTTATCTATTTAACACTAACTCATGAATTTCTGATGTTTGAGAGCATTCTGAATCATGTTGAATGAAGATCTGTCCTTTACCCAAATAATGTAACTTTTTTTGCTTTCATTATGAAAGTTTTAGTATACCCTCTGAAGCTAAAGAAGAAGAGGTTGAGGCTAAATAGACCTGGCTTTCTTTTTGTTGATGCCAAATCTGGGGAATACCTCCAATCCTGATATCTCATGGGGCTTGGAATCATCAGCAGAAACTAATGTCCACTCAGTGTTTATTAAATCCAAGAAATGTGCTAAATACACCATGTTATAAACAAGCCCCCATCCCCTGATACTTGTATCAAATACTACTTTTAGAGAATTTTTTTCAGTAGTGACACATGACTGCAGCCCACTAATTGGAAAGCATTATTCTAGACTGAGAGAAGCTAAAAAGGGAGAAGATATTGACTTTGAATCAAGGAGTTTATAATAAAAGAAGAAAGAATAGGCAAATAAAAATGCTGCAAAACAGAAACATCAGACATACAAAATCAAAATTATGTGGCACCAACACACTTGAAAATGACACACAAGTGTTGTAGAAGAGAGAAAACTTGAAGTTTACATTCATGTCTGAAATTAAGGACCCCCTTGAATGGCTGACTTGCTAGAGTGGGAAAGCTTTTCTACCCTGGCTGACAATTTAGCCACTTTACTTCCTCACTTTATTTTATTTTTTTAGAGAGCGAGAGAGAGAGCGAGCGAGAAAGAGAGAGAGAGAGAGAGAGAGAGAGAGAGAGAGAGAGAGAGAGAGAATTTTTTAATATTTATTTTTTAGTTCTCGGTGGACACAACATCTTTGTATGTGGTGCTGAGGATCGAACCCGGGCCCCACTCATGCCAAACGAGCGCGCTACCACTTGAGCCACATCCCCAGCCCTACTTCCTTACTTTAAATTATCATTTCTTCAACAGAAAGAGTGACACCTGCATTCATTTCTGCAGTTTTTGTTAAAACAGTAAACACATCATTTTCAACATGGGCATAAGGAACAATGAAAATTCTTCAAGCTTTCTCACTGATGTCATTCCTCTGTCCCTTTAAATCATACCATGTTCACAAATGATGACAATGATAATTATAAGAATAGCAGCAGTGACTGTACCACACAGTGGACCTTTTCTATCTGCCCATACAGTTATGAGACTTTACAGTTAATACATCATTTAGTTCTCACAGTGGCTTCTGGAGCACTGCTCCATTTTACAGTTGGGGTACTTGAGGTTTGGAGAGATTCGGTGCCTGGCCTAGGAGCACACAAGAATGTTGCAGCCCCAGGTTTGCCTGAAGACACGGTCCTCCCCAAGCATTTGGACAGCCTGCTCTACCAGGTCAATTCTGCCTATAAATTATTAAACACTTAAAAACAAAACAAACAAAAAAAAACCCAACACCTCTTTAAGAAGTAATTTTTCCTTAGAGGATGTTTTTTTCAGAACATGAACTTGGTCTGCCTTAATACTGCATTCACCAATCTAATCTTCTCACCAACCACTTAAGGAAATTATTCTCAGGCTTCTCATTTTACAAACATCTGAAAGGCCTTAGTGTGAGGTAACTTGCCTAATCCCTCTGCTAGAAGGAGGTGAACCAGGCCTCCCGTGATAAATCCCACACTGCTTCTTCTATAAATAAAAAAAATTCTTCTATAAAGAAATTTCTCATGCTGTCTTCTTGCTGTGTACAAAATCTAGGTGTCTAGGGCCTTAGAGAAATAGGGTGTGATGGTGCACACCTGTAATCCCAGCAGCTCAGGAGGCTGAGATAGGAGGATTCCAAGTTCTACGCCAACCTTGGTAACTTTGAGACCCTGTCTCAAAATAAAAAATAAAAAGGTCTGGGGATATGGCTTAGTGGTAGAAGAGCACCCCTGGGTTCAATCCCCAGTACAAAAAAAAAAAAAAAAAAGAATTAATTCATGCCTACATTTCTCTTATAAAGGGTTCAGGCAAAAACTTGACAGTATTTATTAGAAAATAAATGGAAATCTTAGGGATTTTTTTTTTTAATCAGATAAAAGCCAAGGAAAGGCCTGGTGTTGATTTGTTAGGAGGATTACAAGAAAAAATACCAAGCTAATAGGACAGCCTCTAATAATTTCCATTGTTCAATCTAATCCTCAGACTAAAGAATAAGGATGCAAGAGAGTCAGAAAGTAGATTAGTGGTTGACTAGGTCTGGGGACAAAACGGGATTGAGAGGTGACAGCTGAGGGCATGGGGTTTCCTTTTAGGATAATGAAAATTTCCTAAAACTGCTTGTGGTGATAGTTGCACAACTTTGAATACACTGAAAACCACCAAATGGTAGGTTTTAACTGGGTAAATTGCATGTTATATGGACTATATTATAATACAGCTGTTTAAAAAACAATATAGACACTGTGCATGGTGGTACACAGTGTTATCCCAGTGACTCAGGAGGCTGAGGCAAGAGGATTGCAAGTTTGAGACCAGTCTCAGCAACTTAGTGAGACCCTGTGTTAAAATACAAAGTAAAAAGTACTGGGATGTAGTTCAGTGTTAAAGAGCCCCTGGGTTCAATCTCCAACATCCACCTACCCCCAGGCAAAAACAAACAAACAACAATAACAACAACAACACACACACACACACACACATATATACACATACACACACGCATGTGTGTGTGTGTATGTGTGTGTGTGTGGAGCAGCTTGCTTTAGTAAACTGATGTGTTCCTGAAAAGATAAAGGAAATTTAAATTTTTTTAAAGATTAAATCTTTTTTTAAAACTCAACATCTATACCTAAAAGAATGCTTTGGTAAATTTTTATGAATGAAGCTTTTTCCCCCTAGTGCTGGGGTTTAACTCCAAGCCCTCATGCATGCTAGGCCAGTGCTCTACCACTCAGCTACTTGAGAAACTAAGGCAGGAGGATCACAAGTTTGAGGCTAGCTTGTGCAACTTAGCAAGATCCTCTCCCAAAATAATATTAAAAAGGGCTGGAAATGCAGTTCAGTATGCAAGGGTTCAATCGCCAAAACCAAAAGAGAAAAAGAAAAAACAAAGAGGGAAAAGAAATAAGAATTGAAAGTGCAAATGGCAAAAATTACATACTCAAACTAGGTATGCAATGATTATTGTGGTACTGGAAGAGAAAAGAGATGTAGTTTAAAGAAAGAAAATCAGACTGGCCAAGGCAGGAGGATCCTAAATTCAAGACCAAAATGGGCAACTCAACAGGCAACTTGGCAAGATCCTCTCTCAAAAAATAAAAAGGGCTGGGGATGTAGCTTAGTGGTAGAGTACCTCTGAATTCAATCCCAGTATCAAAAAAAAAAAAAAAAATCAGTAAATTCTTTAGGATTTTTCCAACTAACCATTGGTAAGAATGATGACAATAGTCAATGATCTGGGGTTTTCTGACCTGAGACTGGTCTCAAACTTGCAATCCTCTTGCCTCAGCCTCCTGAGTTACTAGGATTACAGGTGTGCACCACCATGCACAGTGTCTATATTGTTTCTTAAACAGCTGTATTATAATATAGTCCACATAACATGCAATTTACCCAGTTAAAACCTACCATTTGGTGGTTTTCAGTGTATTCAAAGTTATGCAACCATCACCACAAGCAGTTTTAGAAAATTTTCATTACCCTAAAAGGAAACCCCATGCCCTCAGCTGTCACCTATCAATCCCTTCTTGTCCCCAGCCCCTAGTCAATGATCTGGGGATTTTGCTATAGATTAGCAAAGAAAACAAAACAAAAAAAAAATTGCAAAACAGGAGGCAAAAATGTTGCTAACCCATGACTATCAAGTGACAACAACTTGGTCATAAAGGGAAATTCCAAGCTGCACCAACAGGGAGGCATGTACCTGGACAAGATCCTTTCTTCCAACAAGCATGGCTGAAGCAGCGTTCTTCTGACATGTTTCCTGAATATCATTCACATTCAATCTGAAATTTTTAAAAAAGAATAAAAAAGTGTCCTTCAGTCTAAGTTCCTAAGTCAATTCCTTCTGGTTTAACAGCCTAGCAACTGCCTCTTTGCTGTTCACTCAAAATGTTTTTCACTGTGTTGGCCTCAAGCTGCCTGCTATCTGACACTAGGATTAATGAGAGCTATGAGGGCTATGGGTTCTCATCCAGAGAAGGTGAATTCCTCGCTGTTTTGAGTCAGGACAGGAAGCCAGACTCAAATGCTAATTTGTCAACCAGTTTTTATGTGAAGTTTCCAAGATTTAAAGGATTTAAATATGTGCAACACTGTGAACTAAGAAGAGCCTTGGGCTGTTAAAATAATACAAAATAAACACTTCTTGTTATGTGTTCAAGTTCAGGAAGAAGCAGGAGAACCACAGGCTAGCAAACATGCTGGTCACTCATCTCCCACTCCTCTTCAACCAAGGTGATGCCTTTGATTTGTTTTATATATTGGATATGAGAGCCAATTTTAAGATTCCTGTCCACTGCCATACATATCCTCCCGATGAAAGTGAATGGCACCAGTGAATATTGATGGGATGTTGCTCCTGTGATTACATTATTAAGCACTGGACTTTGAGTCTGTCAAAAGGCAGACTATCCTGGGTAGGCCTTACTTAATCATCTGGGCCCTTAGAAGGGTCTATGAACCACTGCTGTTGGTCTGAAGAAGATGAAATTCATATGAGCATACTATAGCTGCAAGGATCTGAATTCTGTCAACAACTGAATACGCTTAGAATAGGACCCAAGGCTTAGGAAGAGAACACCACCTGGCCAGTGTAATGATTTCAGCCAAGTGAGACCCTGGGCGAGGGTTCAGTGAAGCTATGTACAGACGGTTACTGCAAGGTATGCTGTCTGAAGCTGCTAAGTCTGTAGTAATTTGTTATAAAACAAGAGAAAGCTAACACACTGAACTTCTACTGAAACTGCTTTTGAAGAAAAGCTTGCAACACTTACAAAAAAGGTTTATGGATCCTGACTAAGCAATAAGGGCAGTTTACTTGAACTCTTGAACTTACATGTACAGTTCTCCCAGTGATTTGTGAACAGGAAGGAGGCATGAAACATCTTGAATGATGACTTTCCCGGCAGCCTTGATGGGTCGATTGCCAGAGTCTGATCCCTCGCGCTTACTTTTCCACCTCCTTGATTTCTGGGGGAGACGACAAGAGAGAACTAATGAGGACTTTGAAGAGTGGAAACCCAGAGTTGCAGAGCATATTATATTTGGGTCATTGGTAATTTGCAGAAACTTTAAATTATATCATGCCCACAATTACATGAATCAGCATCTGTAGGAAATAAAAGGATGACAAAGGGACTGACCTTGTGATCCAAAATCCTAACAGGAAAATAGGCACCAAATGCAGGACTAGCTACATTCTGCAGGTGCTCAAAACCAGATACCAGGAAGCCAGAATTAATCAATTAATTAAGACAGCAGGTAAATAAGTTAGTAAAAGGCCCCAAAATGTGGGAGAAGAACAAATTTTAAGATTGTTAAAGTACTAGGTTCAAAGTTCTTGCCTGAAACTAATCAAAGGTGTAGGTGTGTGTGTGTGTGTGTGTGTGTGTGTGTGTGTGTGTGTGTGTTTCTTCTTCTCAGACAGGTTCAACAGGGTTTGTTGAAATTTTAATTTAAGAAATTTTTTTAAAAAGAAATTTTAATTTAGACATTTCAGTGTAGATTCTGCAAACCTTAATCCATGAAGGAAGACAGAAACTTGGCAGCTCAGGAATATTTCTAGCAACTTAAATAATTTCTAAAAGTGATCATTTTAGGAAGCCAAAAATGAGTCAGGGGATTATATAATGGACATGAGAAATCATGAGCAAGGGTCCCAATTCCCCAGAGCCATTCCTGTGTGTGTGAAATGGGAAATGTCCTGGAAATCCAGAATTATTAGAGTGCAGCTCCATCTGGTATCTTCAAAATGACAACCAGCCACAGGAGCAGTAATCTATTTTATTTCCAGAAGTTCAAAAGAGATCACCAAAGTGGTTCAAAACTAAGGAATGGAGAGACATACTTATTAACAAAGAAGGGGAAAGGAACAAATGCATAGGGTCTGACATCTGGATTTAGAAAACCACAATTAACTGGTCTTATTACCACATGTACTGTTCAATATGACCCTGGGAAAGTTAATTATCTACTGTGGATTTAGTCTCATGCATTTACTCTTTGCTCACTGATAACTTGGGGCCAGTGATGGACTCTGCTGTCAATCTCATGAGGTCAATAAGGATACAATGTAAAGATATGGGTGCACACCAAAAAATGCAACCTAAAAATATATAATTAATATGAATATATAAACTCAGGAATCTAAATTAGATCATTATTTGATTACTCACAAATTCATTCTTTGCAAGTGATTTTTTGGCCGGGGCCGGGGTGGGGGGGGTGGTACTGGGGATTAAACTTGGGGTGCTTACCCACTGAGCCACATCCCAAGCCCTATTTTGTATTTTATTTAGAGACAGGGTCTCACTAAGTTAGTGCCTCACTGTTGCTGAGGCTGGCTGTGAACTGTCGATCCTCCTGTCCCAAGCCTCCCAAGCTGCTGGGATTACAGGCATGCGCCACCATGCCTGGCTGCAAGTGATTTTTATACAATCACTTATTCATGAATTAGTCTTGGATTAAATCCAGGAATTCTGACCACTGATGTCCCATCTAATCCAAAGGTGCCAAGTGCATATAACTTCCTAAAGGATCAATACATGTCTTGGAACATATTAAATGCAGGACACCTGGACTTAGTTTCAGGCAGGCACACCATAATGTAGTACATATGCTTCACTATCAGATTGGAACCTTAACCCATCTGAGTTTAAGAAACTCTGTTACTATTTACTACTTAACAAGTCATTATTCTTCAACACAAGGGGATGCCTAATCTATTCTGTCAGGTAGCCCTTCATCTCTTCAGGCCCTGGTTCTTTCCAAAAGAAGGATTATGGGCATACTCACAAACATACTATCCTTTTAGCCACAAACATCCTGACTTGGAAGCAAGTGAAGGATGTACATGTTGAAGAGTAAACAACCTGTCATGGGAGCAGGCAGTGTTAACTGAAGTAAGATGGACATAGTTATGTGCACTCAATACTATGCACAACTTGCTGGAGGGACGGTAATTTCATGTACATGTACCCTGCAGTGACAGTGAACAGTATAAGGTGCTTCACTAGCTGGGAACAACATACCCACAGGTCCCACACAACTGACCATCTCAAATAAGACTTAGGGTACTGGATTAAGAAAAAACCTTATGCTAAAAAGATTCCACCTGGAATGGAATATGATCCATCTAATTTGTTCTTCCGAGTTGTTGGAAGGCTTCTAAAATACTGTTGCAGGAAGTCACTCTGGCTCCTTATTATAAAGAGAAAATGAGAAGCACTTGAGCAATCGAGCAACTCAGGATAGTTCATTTAACGACACAGCTTAAATAAATGGAGGCCTCGAGAAGGATCAGGCCTACTAGCTTTTAGAACACACTGAAAATAACCACAATTTCCTGGTTTTTAAAGCAAACAACAACAACACATTATTAATCATATGAGGGCTCATGTGCCAAAAGTGGTTCATTTGCAAGTAGATTAGTTCATTTAGAAACTGACAATGAAACAAGTCCAAGAGTACAAATGTTTGGCTTAGGATTTAAAGTCTTGTCTGTTGTTATTACCATCATGTTAATCCCCACTGGTGGCCTGCTCGCTCTGGGCTGGGCACCTCACTGCAACTCCATGATATAGTGAGGATGTGGGGCTTATTCAAGGTCATGGTCATCTAGCCGAGATTTCAACAGGCCTGTCATTCTTGTTAACTTTTTCCCTCTTCACTGTATATGATTCTAGATTAACCAGGGAAAAAAATTTAAGACCTGGCTAAGATACCTGTTAATAATGTAAATAGTTTGGTCCACTTTTAAATGAATCCATTTCTGCGTGTAAGAAGATTCACATTTGATCCTCGTGACGCCTGCTCCCATATCATCCTTCCACATCAATCCTTCTGCAGTCACTTCTCCTGAGCATCATGACTGCATCTAGCTAAGTCAGAGTAGTCAGCCTGCTGCAGCTCCTGCAGCCACACAGCTTTCAATGGGGCAAGCAGACTCAGAACATGACACTGTTACTTCAGGCTGGATTTCAGTGTCTGCACCTCCAAATCTCCTTTTGTGGATTTGTTAAGACTGAAGAAAACTTGGGAGTTCAAAGAAATGTCTTAGGACTGTTCCCCAATTTGCAGTCTTGTGTTACAAGATCAGTAGAAAGACAGTAATGTGAGTCATCAATAAATACTTGATGAAAATATTGGCAGCGGTCTTTGACAATTTTTTGTAACTATTCTTATTGAATTATGGAAATCATGGTCTGTGTTTCCTGGGACATCTGGAGACACCAGCCCTCGAGGATTTAACTTTGATCTGTACTGGATGAAGAGGAGGTCTTCATAGAACTTCACTCAGTTGCCTCTCAGGCTTCAAAAGAAGGGGCTCCCCCAAATGGGATCCTCCTAATTCCTGCTACCAGGAATCAAGCTGTCAAAGCAATTATGGAACAGTGCTAGTAGTTTTCTTAATCCAGCAAGGAATGACTACAAAACAATGTCAAAAATCCTTAAAAGGCTACAAAATAGTGTTGGTATTGTGTATTTTCAAATTTGTTGACTAAGAGTTTTAAATATGACATATTTCTCTTTCAGCCTACAAGGGTCACTCAGTAATCATGTCTAATGGCCAGTTATTCTGGAGATTTAAATACAAGATTGCCTAAATGACAATATGCTATAATCTCAAATGAGATGTTAATTGGGGCCTTGGGTCCTGGTTGCTCCCTAACAAGAAGATGGACAATTTTTCAGGGTGTTTCTTCCAGGGCCTAAGCAATAAAAAGCATTCCTGCTCCACTCACATTTTCCCTAAGAATGCTTTTCTCCTTAACATCTTACGGGACATTTTAAGAGGCTCTCGACTTAGCAACTGTCAGGTAACAACACATGGATTTCTCCCAGGATTCTTGGGTTTCAGATAACAAAGGCTAAGATGTGGTTACTCTGTCTGGGGTAAGGAAGGGCACTGTGGTGTAAAAGCTCCTGCCCCTCCTGCACTGCTCCAATCTCACTCTGATGGGCTTTAGTGTGGCGACTTCGCTGTGAGGTAGAATTGGTACCTCTGGGAGAAAAGGATTGTGCATTTCTCTTAGGTCTTTTCAATGATCCACCAACACAAAATGCCCTTCCCCACAGATTTCATGAGAAGGGACTGAGGGAAGAGAGACAAAGCAAGACAGACAAAATATTACGTGATGAGCTCCAGGATGTCCCTCTGAACATCCCAGGAAGGTGTTCATGGATTACGGCAAAGAGGACAGAAAAGAAGGGTGGGGGGGGGGGAGGCACTGGTGCTAATAGCACTGAATGACAACCAATAGCCAGCTCGCGACTGTACCACCAGTGTTACTGCTACAATTGGAGGCAACATCAATGCCAGAAAATGGGTTAAATGTAAAAACAGCCCAAGAATAAGCCACCAACTGCTTCGCAGCAACCCCATCAACAATAAATAATCAGCAGAGTGGGCAGTGAGTCAAAATGAGTTCCTATTTAAAGAGCAGCAGAAACGAGGACTTCTGGAAAATCAGTGGAAATTCAGCAGTTGGGTTGGGTGGAATCGGCTTTTTGAGGAAAGGTGGCCATATTGGTGGCTCCACCTGCAAGTTGTTGGCAGCAGAGGTTGGTACCTGCTAATCCAGCTCCTGATTTCAATAGGTGTTTATGAATAGGCTAAAGGACTGTCCTCTAAACATTCTTTATACCAAACAAAATTTACACAGAGCCTCAAGGCTGCCTTGAGGTCACCTTGGCACTACTGAAACATGAAGGGAATGGGTGAGGAAGACAGAAGAGGGGAGATGGCCAATAGGATGAGTCAGAAAGGAAGAAGGGGAGGGGACATCTGCAGTAGAGGTTTTAATGTTAATGTAAAATACTGAGGCTAAGGGAAAAATTTGTTCCAGATAATTCCTGAAGGATAAAACTAGCTTATGTATCCTGCCAATGAAGCAGGTGGGAAACTTTCCCTCTCAGAACCAGACTGAGACTATGAAAATAGAGACTAAATGGCAGAAGCCTCTTATATCTTCCTCTGCTCCCCACATGCCAAAGGTAGGCTTTTGAAAGCTCCATGGAATTAGACAAAAGCTCCAAGTGAAATCAGGGGAGCTAAAGTCATTTAATCAGGGTTCCGCCCAAGAACCCAGTATTGCTTCATTTGCAAAGGACTCCAGTCGTGACCTGGAAGGTGTTCAGCCACTGGAAACACTGAACTGAACAAGAAGGCAGTCCTCAGTGCCTGACTCCCCAGAGTGTAGGGCTCACTTCTGCTGGTCCCGAAAACCAGCCAGCTGTCATTTCAGGTTCCTCAAAGCCAGGCAGGTGGCATTTTATTCTTGGGCCTTTGGGTAGAGACAGGATTAGTTAAGGAGAGCATTTGCACAGCGCACAGTACCGGGAAGTCGTTAATTGCTTGTATGGACCAACGTCGCCGGGCAGAGCGAGGAGACATCTGTGCGTGAAAACGTTACACCCAGGAGGAGGGAAGAAAAACACCAAGAAAATTAAAAGGGAAAAATATAGAATAAAATGAAAGCTTCCCACACATCTGATGGATTAAAAGGTATATATACTGCAAAACCGGAATTGGAATGACGAACACTTGTCAACCTCAGCACAGCAGGTTTTGGATTTCCTCGCCTCCCCCCACGCCTTCACCTTCCAAGCCCACCTTCGGTTTCATCCATCTTCAGTCACGTTTCAGGCATATGGAGGCTAGTGTCAACTCTGACAAAGAAACTACGAGAAGGTCCGAGGTAGGAAGGACTAAGGTCATAGTGCCAGGGAGGAACAGGAGAAGATTCTTCCCCTCTGACAGGTGAGAAGGAGAATGTGTTCAGAGTATATTCTCATTCCCCAAATGGAAGACATTCTCGATAACCAATTTGGGGGAGGGTGTGATTGGGGGGAAGGAGGGAAATGGGTGTCATGACACAGGGACTGCAGGACTATTTTCAGAGCAAGGTCAGGGAGAAGGGAGAGCCCTGGAGAACTGAGGGGAAGGTGGGGAACTAAGCTGAGGAGGAACATTCTTGCTAACAAGAGCACCTGAGCATGGAACTGGGAGCAAATGACACTGATTATGGAGATCTCTAGTTACTCTGCTAACTGAAAGACCTCCCCAGTTATTTATATCAGAGCTATTTTGGTAACATAAACCGAAACGAAGATGAGAGGCTGAGAATTTTTTTTAAAAATGTCTGTAGGGCAACCTAATATTTACCTTAAGTTCTGGGCCTTCTGATTTATTCTAAGCATGCATGACATTTTATCAGCGATTAATAGCTGGTCTACTTGCCAACTTCATTCATGTTAGCATCTCTGTGCTTTCTGAATTCCTATGAAATTTGGGAGGTATTTAGGTCTCTTAACATTTTTAAGTTTTTAGGAGCAATCCTTGGAATTCCATCTGGAGAACACTGGGGGAATATACAATCCAACCTAAGTAGGTCAGGTTGAAAACACAAGAGAAGCAAACAGTCGTTTCTAAATGGCTCTATAAATATCTTTTGCAATCTCAAAAACACCCTGTAGCCAGGTGTGGTGGCGCATGTCTGTATCCCAGCAGCTCAGGAGGCTGAGGCAGGAGGATTGAAAGTTCAAAGCCAGCCTCAGCAACTTAGTAAGGCCTTAAGTAACTCATTGAGACTCTGTGTCTAAATAAAATATAAAAAAGGGCTAGGGATGTGGCTCAGTGGTTAAGTGCCCCTGGATTTGCTTCCCAGGCATACAGAGGCTAATGTCAACACAACTCTGACCAAAAAACTACTCTCTCCACCAAAAAAAACCCTGTAATTCCTTCATTTCTAGGTCATAAAGTTGGCATATTCTTTTTTTTTTTTTTTTTTTTTTTTTTTTTTGAGATGGGGGTTTCGCCTTGTTGCTGAGGCTAGTCTTAAACTTTTGGTCCTCCTGTCTCAGCCTCCTAAGTAGCTGGGATAATAGGCATACGCCACCATGCCTGGAGCAGGCATATTCTACTCCTTCATTCTCCTTCATTTATTTTATTTTATTTTTTTAGTATCAGGGATTGAACTTAGGGGCACTCACCCACTGAGCCACATCCCCAGCCCTATTTTGTATTTTATTTAGAGATGACAGGGTCTCACAGGGTTGTTTAGCACCTCACTTTTGCTGGAAGTGGCTTTGAACTCGCAATCCTGCCTCAGCCTCCTGAGAGGCTGGGATTACAGGCGTGTGCCACCACACCCGGCCATTCTCCTTCATTTAACACTCTTGTGGTAGAGATCTAAAAGGGAATAAAGGTATGCAGGAGAAAAAATGGGGCACCAAAATATGTGGTAAACCGAAAAGTTTCCAGGACAAAACAATAAAGTGATACTATTTGACAGGTGAAACTAGACTCCTTCGGACTAGAAAATGACCCTCAAGATGCATGGGCCTCTGGTAGGAAGACAAAGCCGCCTATGTAGGACATTGTGGAGTATTCCACTGCTTTAATCCCCCCTCTGACCTATTTAAATAGGATGGACATAAACAAGTGTTGAGAGCCACAGCGAAAGGGCCCCAGCAAACTTCCAGCTGCCAGCTGATGATTGGCTCACAGCGGCCCCAGCAAACTTCTAGCTGCCAACTGATTGGTTCCTCTGCGCGGTGATGCTCATTGGGCTGTCCCCCCCCCCTTTCAGACCACGGAGCTGCTCATTGGGGGACTTTTTTGGCTCCGCCCATGCGATCCAGCCAATCCGCCTCAAGAACAGGAGGAGTGGGGGAGGTTGAGAGGCTTGTGGGAAGCCGGTGGTGGCAGTTGGGCTCTGAGGGTTTTCCTGAAGAGCTGTGTGGTGCGGTGTGTGTGTGTGTGTTCTAAAGAAAAAAAAGTCCCCCAGTGAGCAGCTCCGTGGTCTGAAAGGGCAGGGAAACAGCCCAATGAGCATCACCGCAGAGGAGCCAATCAGTTGGCAGCTAGAAGTTTGCTGGGGTGGCTGTGAGCCAATCATCAACCGGCAGCTGGAAGTTTGCAGGCAGCTGGAAGTTTGCTGGGGCTGCTGTGAGCCAATCATCAGCCGGCAGCTGGAAGTTTGCTAGCAGCTGGAAGTTTGCTGGGGCCCCTTCGGCTGTGGCTCTCAACAAACAAGCTTCAAGGAAGGTAAGTTTATTTCAAATTCAACACATAATAATGACTTACTCATTCTTGCCTTCTTAAGCTAATATGTTGAACCACACAAAACTATTCTTTAGATCCAAAATGATCAAATATCAGCAATTTCAAATGATTTACCCTAATAATGATTACACATCATCCATTAAAATGTGTTTCCCCTCCCCAGGGCCTCTGAGGGTCTTAAGATGTTCTATTACATGCTTAAGATCTGTGAACTTTTCTATATAATATTTTATACATCAGAATAAAAATTTCCTGTGAAATTATAATCATAGCAACCTCCCATTTTAAATGGTCACTACTTAAAACTTAAATACCACTAACTATGTCAAACAAGGGTACTATAATGGCCCATCTTCTGTGGAGAAGCTGCACAGCAAGAACTCCCCCAAACTGAAATATCACGTTCCATCCTCTATCCCCAGCAGATACTATCTGCTAGTTTGCAGATGCTTTGGTCCCTCTTTATGATAGTGGTGCAGTAAAAAGGGCCAGAGCATTGTAAATAGTAATGTAGGCTTTACCACTACTTCTGCAGGAGGAGAGGTCCCATCTGGGAACAGAGGCTTTCAACACTATCACAAAGTCAAAAATGCTAGTCACTCTACTCTGCCCAATCCCAACCCAAGCATGGTAACACATGGCATAAACTGAGAGGAATTCAGAATCGCCCTGACTAAAAGGTCTCCTCGACCTGGCCCTGATGTCAAAAAAAATTCTCACCTATAGCTCAGTGGGAGAGTGCTTGCTTTGCATGTAGGAGGCTGGGTTTGATCCCTAGCACTACAAAAATAAATAAGAGTCACATTTATTTAACCATGAGTTTATATGGCTTGTATGGCAATAAAATGTCTCGTTCTAAGCAATTTATCAAATCATCTATCCAATTACATGCTAACTTGTAAAAAAAAGAGCTAAGAATTTTTAATGTAAAGAGCTGGGGGAAGACATAGTTTGGAAGATGTTCCAGGGAAGTCTGTGCCAGCCAGGAGCTGTGTGGAAGGGGACTGTAGAAAGCTGGACAGGAGGCAATAGAAAGTCATTTTCCCTATTTAACTGAGTGGTTTACCTAGGACTGGTCAGATCAGTTGCTGCCATTTGTTTCAGTCACAAGTAACCCTGAGACTAGTTAAAGGCAGAGCTGGTCAGGCTAGCAGTACAAGACAACGGTGGACAGTATCCTGCAATTGGCGTGAAGGCACTTCTAATACCTGATAGAAATTCATTTTTTTATATTTAAAGTTATTAAATTTTTTTAAAAAGCAACTTTTAGTTAGAGACAATTCACTATTTCTCATGTTAGTGGGGGAAAACAACAAAGAATTCCTAAGCACTGAGTTTATGCAGTAGCTCAGTGATAACTCTTTACCACATCATGTCATCAGCTAAAGCCTGTCATGCCAGATTCTCAATCTGACAACCCCAAAAGAGTTCTTTTAATCAATTATTCCAAAGTTCTGCCACCATTCTCTCCACTGTTGTTACCCAAGGTTCTTGCCAGCACAAGAAGAACTGCTTTCAGGACAGTGAGTTCCTTAAGAACTCCAGAACGTAAGGATAAGATCAGGTGGATTTTGGATAAACCAATGTATTCCATTGGGAACTTAAATGTATTTTTAGCAGAAGAACCTTTTAGAGATGAACTTTAAAACTCTCACAACTGTGAAATTCCCACTATGTCAGATTCCAAGCCTTCAGAACATCCCTTAATCTGTTGACAAACATCAGAATACCAACAAAGACTGGAAGCTTAATTATTCTAACTGAAATAATAGGGATCAACTCAATGAATGGGGAATCCAAGGACTGGGTTAAATAGGGAGTGAAGAACACGGACTGTAAGTACAATGACCCCTCCCTCCACCTTACAGTCAACGGAAAGGAGCAAAGCAATGGCCTTTAAACAAACTATGAGCGTGAGAGCTATAAAGGACTACTAACTTGGCTGCGGTGGGCAGGCAAACAGAACGATCCAGGAGAAGGGGAAGAAACAAAGGCCATGGCTCTGTCACTTACCCGCTCCTTGTAGTAGAAGGAGCTGATGGAAACCTGCTCTTTCTCGCTGCGTGTAGGGCTCCCGCTATATAAGCGAAGGTTCCCAGGGGCCTCTGTGCGGATCTTCATTGGTGCGATCAAGCCAGTATGATAAGCAGACAAGGCGGAGAGAGATCTGCAGTTGACAAAGAGAATTATCTACACTGGCTGTTTTTTTTTTTCCCCCATATTTGTAAGTAGTGCTATGCATAGCACTTGCCAAAACCAAGAGGAACAGACATGGGAAGAAAAAGGAAAATTCAAAAAAAACAAAAGAACCAAGCAAAACTTTTAGAGCTGAAAATGCTTTATCTGCACAAGCACAGGATACTACCATGATTGTATACACAGAAAACTCAAAGCTTTAAATAACTAGAACTAATTAGTAAATTTAGATTCAAGATCAACTTATTAAAAATATACTGTATTTCCATATATTAGAAACATCTAGAAAATAAACAATTTTTAAAATTTTATTTACAATAGCATTAAAACACAACAAATACTTAGGAACAAACTTAGTTTTTAAAAAATGTGCATTAGAAATGTGAAGCAGCAGGCATCACAATACCAGACCTTAAACTATACTACAGAGCAATAGTAACAAAAATGGCATGGTACTGGCACCAAAACAGACATGAAGACCAATGGTACAGAATAGAGAACACAGAGACAAACCCACATAAATACGGTTATCTCATACTAGACAAAGGTGTCAAAAACATACATTGGAGAAAAGACAGCCTCTTCAACAAACTGAAAATCCATATGCAGCAAAATGAAATTAAACTTCTATGTCTCACCAAGCACAAAAGTCAACTCAAAGTGGATCAAGGACCTAGGAATTAGACTAGAAACCCTGCACCTAACAGAAGAAAAAATAGGCCCAAATCTTCATCATGTCAGATTAGACCCTGATTTCCTTAATAAGACTCCTAAAGCACAAGAAGTAAAATTAAGAATCAATAAATGAGATGGATTCAAACTAAAAAGCTTCTTTCCAGCAAAAGAAACAATCAATGATGTGAAAATCAGTGATGTGAAGAGACAGCCTACAGAGTGGGAGAACACCTTACCACACACACATCAGATAGAGCACTAATCTCCAGGATATATAAAGAACTCAGAAGACTTAATACCAAAAATCAAACAATCCAATCAATAAATAGGCTAAGGAACTGAACAGACACTCTCAGAAGAAAATATACAAGTGATCAACAAATATATGAAAAAGCATTCAATATCTTTAGTAATTAGAGAAATGCAAATAAAAACTACTCTAAGATTTCATCTCACTCCAGTGAGAATGTCAGTTATCAAGAATACAAGCAATAATAAGTGTTGGTGAGAATGTGGGGAAAAAGGGACACTCATACATTGCTGGTGGGACTGCAAATTGGTGCAACCACTTCKGAAAGCAGTATGGAGATTCCTCAGAAAACTTTGAATCCAACTTCCATTTGACCCAGCTATCCCACTCCTTCGTCTATACCCAAAGGACTTAAAATCAGCATACTATAGTGACACAGCCACACCAATGTTTATAGCAGCTGAATTCACAATAGCTAAACTGGAACCAACCTAGATGCCCATCAATAGATGAATGGATAAAGAAACTGAGGTATATATACACAATGGAATATTATTCAGTATTAAAAGAGAATAAAATCATGGCATGTGCAGGTAAATGGATGGAGTTGGAGAATATCATGCTAAACGAAGTGAGCCAATCCCAGAAAACTAAAGGTCAAATGTTTTCTCTGATTAATGGATGCTGATCTATAATTGAGGATGGGGAGCTTGGAAAGAATGGAGGAACTTTGGATTGGGCAAAGGGGAGGGTGAGGATGGGTTATGAGGGCAGGAAAGATGGTGGAATGAGATGGACATCATTATCCTAGGTACATGTATGACTACACGAATGGTACATCTCTATACCATGAACAACCAGAGAATTGAAATGTTGTGTTCCATTTGTGTATGATGAATTGAAATGCACTCTGCTGTAATATGCACCTAAGTAGAACAAATAAAAAATAATAATTTTTTAAAAAGATGTCAGTTTTCTCTAAACTCATCTAAAGAGTTAATACAATCCCAATCAAAATATAAGCAAGGTTCTGTTGGTTTTTTTTTTAAAGAAACTAAGCTAATGTTATAATTTTGTGAAAATGTAAGAAGACCTATAATAACCAACAAAAAAACTAAACAAGAATAATAAACTTGGAGGACTCTTGCCATCCGGTGTGAAGACTCTACACAAAGCTACATCATGAGTATAGTGTTAGCATAAGGAGAGACAAAGCGACCACTGAAGGAAAAGACAGTCCAAAAACTGACCACAGATAGGTTGTCCGTTGATTTTCACCAAAGGTATCAATACCAACAAAGAAAGCTTTACACAGGTAGTGCCAGAACAACCACTTCTCTCTACTGAACAAAACAAACTTTGACCCTTACCCATCATCCACACCAAAAAAATGAGAGATGGATCACAGATATTAAATAAGGAATTTAAAACTGTAAACTTTTCAAAAGAAAACAAGAGAAGGATATTTTTGTGACCTTGGGGTAGGGAAAGATTTTTTTGATGAAACACAAAAATCACTAACAAAGTAAAAAAGTAATAACCTGGGCATCATCGAAATAGAACACTGCTATTCTTTGAAAACCATTAAGGAAGGAGAAAGACAAGCCACAGAGGAGGAAAAAAATCAATAAACACTTCCAGCAAAGGATCTGCAACCAAAATAGACAAGCACCACAAATAAATAAGAAATACAGTCAAGGGAAAAAGTGCGTGATACCTGAAGAGGCACCTGGCAAGAGAAGATGGTTAGTAAGTACATAAATGCTGCTCGGCATCATTAGTTGTCATCATGGAAATGTAAATTAAAACCAGGAGATAATATTTCATGCCCATCACAACCACTGAAGTTGAAGAGATTAGCAATGCAAAGTTTTAGAGAGATGGTAGAGCAATAAACGCTCTGAACACCACTAATGTGAGGGCAAAATGACACAACCACTGTGCACCAACTTTCTGGTAATTTCTAATAAAATTAAACATACACCTATCTTATGATCAGCAATTCCACTCCTTGGGCATAGAAACTAATACTTGTGTTCATAAAAAGGACAGTACATAATGGCCCCAAACTGGAAATACTCCAAATATTCAAGAATAGGGGAACAACCTATATCATGTTCATAAAATCCAATTACTGACAGAGGCAACCACGTGGGTCAATTTTAGTATCACTAAGTCAAGCAACGAAAGCTGGCCATAAAACAGTGCGTGTGTACCTCAATAACCTTTAGGAACAGACAAAACTCAACTATGATGATAGAAGCCAGGACAGTGGTTTCCTCTGGGCAACAAGAAACTGGGAAAAGGAATTGGGAATTTGAGGGGCAAGGACAATGCTTCACATCTTAATGTGTGTACTGATAATTATATTTCAATAAAGTACTGCTGGCTGAAAATGTTCCTATAGAACATGTGATCCAAAGTCCAGGTACAGATCTTCACTGTGACCCTCTGAAAGGAGGTCACTTTTCTGGTCTAACCTTCCCAATATGGAATCTAATGTAAGGCAAGTTCCCTGGTTACTTAACCTCCAGTTCTTATGGGTCAAGAAGATCTCATCTGCCTGGATTAGTGTGGAGCCTGGCACTTTCCCAGTTCAGCAGAGGCATCTGTTCACACACTGCTTCGTGATTCTTCCTAACTGTGCTGAGCTAACGATACTGTGTGTTCTGCGTTACCCTGGTCACTGCTCTGCAGAACCAGAAGTCTATTGTATGATCTTAAAGTTTAAAAAAACATTGGTCACAACAGGAAACATAGTCTGAGCACTCCCCATGTACTGGCAGTGTTTTCAAAGGCCTTAAAGGGACTTGCTAGTTTAGGCTCCAGAGGAAAGTGCTATCAGCATCTCCACAGGACCGCTGAAGAAACTAAAACAGTCTAGATAAGCTGCCTGAGCTCAGTGAACCACACAGGGATCCCCCTAGTTCATGGAAAAAGAAAGGAAGGGCTTTCAAACTTGAACCTAAAGCTTCTGCATTGTTTTGAGTTTTCCCAACATACTCCTTATATAACTTATTAAAATTACATGTATTCTGATAATGTTAGACATGGTGTATCAGTGTTGTGGGACTACAGGTGATCTTTATGTTGTTTTTTTTTTTTCAGTTTAACAGTAAATCAAATACCAAAAATTTTAATATAATAATAAAGTAATAACAATAGGGAAAACATATATTAACAAAGGATTTGCCTTGTTTCGGCAATAGTTTTCATGAAGCTGCCCCTTCATGTAGTTTGGCAACCTTATAGCAGAAATCTCAGCTTTTCTGCATTTAATGAACCAACATCTTTCTTGAATGAATCTTACAATGGGAGTTTACTGAAGAACTAAAACAAACTGTCCAAAGCCAGAGTCAGTGGTCCTTCCCATATTTCTGCCCACTTCTGGCCCCCTGGATATAGACGTAAAAGCATCTTCTAGACTCACCTGGGAGTGGGTTCTGTTGGAGACACTGCTCGATGCATTGTCATGGGCCTTGTGAAATACACCAGGTAACCTGACAAAGGAGACAGCACATGCGCACGTCAGTGGGAAGTGCCAAGACAGGACTGGGCAATCTGTTTTTCTGTCTCAATATACCTGAGGGATAAGACAGATTTTTAAAAATTGCAAAGGCTAATGCTACAGTGACTCTGCATAGGCCCAAAGGTGAGAATCTCCAGGATCTAGGACGGATGGGATATATGTGGACTGGATCAAGTCTCCACAGATGCTTTACATTCCCTACAGGGGACTTATCCTCTGTTAAGAATCAGGGCTCTAAACTAGACTCAAATCCAAGTTCATCAGAATGAAACAAATGAAGACTCCAACTCTGGTGGGATATACTCACAGAAACTAATGTGGCCTCATAGTATAAAATACTACTACAAAGAAGTTCTGAGTTCTTAGGAAATGAAAACAAAGAAGCCTTTTCTAAGGCAGATGTTCATATAGAATACATGACACTCTTGGCTGTATTCCCTTGAAATCTAGAATCAGCAAGTCACAGAGACCAACCTGCTCCACAGAACCTGGCCCCAGAAGTCCTAGGAAAGGGAATATTGGCATCCTGGTATGACCCATAGGCCGTGGTCACCCGCGCAAAAGTTGGCAAAGGTGGTGTGACAGAGTTTGGGAGCGCAAACGGGTTGCTAGAAGCACTGTCTTCTTGGTTCTGAAATTTAAAAATCAACAAACTAAAAACCACAGCCTGTCTTAGAGCTGAGTTACAAAACAGGGGTATGACATTAGAAAGTCAGGGAGCCCAGGATTTTAGGAGAAGATATGAAACAAGACACCAAAGCCTAGGTCGATACACAATTTCATGTTTCCCACCACAAAAGACTCAAGGCAGGAGACGAGCTGGCGCAGGCAGGGCTCCAAACAGCTCTGGTTGCGTTTCACTTTTTGCAGGGAAGTGTCCTTCAGGATCTAGAAAAGGCCCAGAACACAGTCAGGAAGAGCATCCCATTTCTCCCGCTTGGCTTTACTCTACAAAGTGGGCAGAAGCATGATGGTTGCAGGACTGAGGTCTGGTTAGGTCTAAGGTTTCCAGGGCAATGCACTTATCTTCCACAGCCCTCAAGGAGAAGGACTGGGTCCTGAACCTCCTAGGGAAGCCTTTCCTTGGCCCAGGAGGCCGGCCACACACACACTGGTTCTAGCATGACAATAGCTATTTTTTCTTTCTAGTGAATTCAGGCTCTTTGATCTCTCCTGACCCCACCTCCTTCATGAGAAATCTCAGCACCTTGGAAGTGATACCCACTGGGCTGGACTAAAAATGGCTCTGAGAAAAATAGCCAGAGGGGAACAGATTTCTCCTCAGCAGAAATTATAATGTGTTTTTATTTTTTTGTTCTTTAAAGTGATAAATCCTACTATTTTAAGATGCATGCCACAGATGTGAACTGACACCCACAATGAAGACAGGCCTATGAACTAGACCCATTGTCCCTACCACCTGAAATGTGCCTCGTCCAAACTCAGAGGCACTGTAAAACTCACAGTGAATGTTGGTACAGAAAAAAGTGTAAAATATCCCAATAAGTTGATGTTGATTATACGTTGATATGATAATATTTTGGATGTGCTAGATTAGATTAAAATATTATTAAAATTAACCCACTGCTTCTTTTAGTTTTTCTTATGTGGCTATTGGAAAATTTTGAAATTACATGTGGCTTGCATTAACACTGCTATTAGCATTGAATTAGACCTTTAAATTTGACACTTCTCATTTTAAGCCTATCATTTTATACTGACACACATATATATGTATATATGTATATGTATATATGTATATGTATATATATGTGTGTCAGTATAAAATGATATATGTATATGTATATATATATGTACTTTTTTTGTCCAAACTAGGCAATGAAATATTCAGAATCCAAGTTTAAAATGACAAATACCACAAAATCTGAATAATTAGCATTTCAGAGATCTTTAAGCCACTTAAAAAACGTCTGATTACACATGATACCACAATAGGATGGAACTATCAAATGCATATGATCCAAAATGGGTAAAGATAAGCAATGTTCAGGTCAGCGTGGGCTTATGAGGACACTTCAGTTCCTTCACTTGTCACACTGCTCAAACTGAGGAATGTTTGCCATCACCTGACTCCTAGCACTTTCTGAGAGGTTCTGCCTGATTAGATCTCACTGACACATAGAGTTGAAGACCAACTGCCAGGTTGTGCCACCTGCAACCACATACTGCTGTCCTTCACACACCCTGCCTGTGCAGCTAGACAGTTTATCTCCAAGCTAACCCTGGTTCCTTCTATGGGATGGAAAATATTTTAATCTATACACATTATTTTAATTAATATTTTAATCTATACACATTATTATCTGATTATCAAATATCTTTTAGCTTCAGAATGTCTTACCTATTTCTAGATAAACAGAACTCCAGGGTTCTTAACCTAAGATTAGTGCATAGCTTTGATGATCTCTGTGAGATTACATGCAATTCATATCCTAGTATTCAATATTTCTGAAGTTATATGCAAAATCTGTGCAAATTATTCTGAAGAAGGATCTATTGTCTTCATTAGACATCCAAAGGACATCCATGATTCAGAAAAGATTAAAAATCACTGCTCCAGGGACTGGGGTTGTAGCCCAGTGGTAGGACACTTGCTCAGCACATGGGAGGCAATGGATCTGAGCCTCAGCACCACATAAAATAAATAAATAAGATAAAAATACTGTGTTCATCTACAACTAAAAATATTTTTTTAAAAATCACTGCTCTCGGGGGCTGGGGATGTGGCTCAAGCGGTAGCGCGCTCGCCTAGCATGCGTGCGGCCCGGGTTCGATCCTCAGCAGCACCACATACCAACAAAGATGTTGTGTCCGCCAAGAACTAAGAAAATAAATAAATAAATGTTTAAAAAAAAAAAAAAATCACTGCTCTAACATATAAAAGGAAAGGAGGGGTAAGACAAGATAATACAAATGGAAGAAATGATTTACAGTAGAAGGGGTAGAGAGAGAAAAGGGGAGGANGAATACATCAGACACTAGAAAGGCAATATGTCAATCAATGGAAGGGTAACTGATGTGATTCAGCAATCTGTATACGGGGTAAAATTGGGAGTTCATAACCCACTTGAACCAAACCGTGTAATATGATGTATTAAGAACTATGTAATATTTTGAAAGACCAATAATAAAAAAAAAAAAAAAATTAAACATCAAAAAAAAAAAAAAAAATCACTGCTCTAACATTGTCTACGCAAAGTGATAGGCCAGTGTGTTGCTAATACCACAGCATGCAGGGGACAGGCGGCTTCCAAATCTTTGAGTTCCACTTAACTTCCCTACTCAGCACAGACACTGATGCACACAGCAGAGCTCTTGTCTTACAGAAGCAAAGAAAATTTGGGAACCCAGATCCCCACCTTTAGCAGCTTAGCTTTCATGGTCGATGTGATGGTTGTGGGGTTAATAAACTGGAAGGAAGGGGCGGCATTGTTGGGGTACTGAGCTGGGAACTTCACCAGCATCTTGACACGGTGGCTGCTGCAATGCGCGGACACCGTGCAGCTCCTATCTGCAGCGTCCATCTGCAAGACACAGACCCACAACTTCTTAGCAGGCAAACTGCAAGGTTTTCAGATGTAAATGAACATTTATTTTTATTTCTTTTTTTCGTTTTTCTCTGCGGTGTGGGGATCAAACCCAGGGCCCTACACAAGCTAATCAGGCTCTCTTCCTACTACTGAGCTATACCCCCAGCAAGATGCAGTTAGATGTAAATAAGCTACCTGAATGTTCCACATTCCTGATAAAGGGAGACAGTCCACAAAGACAAATGAGTTTGGAAACAACCTGTTTTCAAAATAGATTTTAAAATCTTAGTACTGCCTTAATGAATTCAAAGTATTTTTACTTAAAAAGCTTCGACCCAAAGCTTTGAGGTTAACTAAAGCTTGTTGGATTTACTTTGAGATGAGAAAATAAAGCAGGAAGAAGTTAAAATGAATAACCTGATTCAACATAGAAAGCACTCTAACCTGGGCATGATGACCACACCTGTAATCCCTGCTACTCAGGAGGCTAAGGCAGGAGAATTGCAAGTTCATGACCAGCCTGGGCAACTTAGTGAGGCCTTGTCTCAAAAATAAAAATAAAAAGGGCTTGGGATGTTGCTCAGTGGCAGAGTGCCTCAGTGGTAGGGTTCAATCCCCAGTATCACAAAACAAAACAAAACAAAACAAAACAAAACAGTATTTCTTAGAAAATCCATAGACATAGAGCAGATGAATGGCTGCCAGGGCTGGAGAGAGGGCCAATGGAGGTGACCGTTAATGGTTACAGGAAGTTTTTTTCAGGATGATGAAAATATTCTGGAAATAGACAGTGGTGAAAGGTTGCACAACTTTGTGACTACACTAAAAACCACTAATCACATACTTTAAAAAGGCAAATTGTGTGATATGTGAATTATATCTCAATAATTTTTAAGACGTACTCCTGAGGAAAAGTACCAAGACCTCCTTCTTAAACCAGATCACTAGGTTAGCCACACTGTTCTTCACTGGGCCAAAGGGAGTATATGAGTGGAGCTGATGGGGATGGCCAATTAATCAAAACATCCTTTAGATCTGTTGATTTCTTGTGCTGCCAACTAAAGAAGGCAGCCAGAAAGCAGTGAAAAGAGCCAAATACATGGGAAATCTAGAGTTGGATTCCAACATTATATCTTCCACCAAATAGCTGCTGACCTTGGACAAATCATTCATCTCTGGTGTCTTGATTTCCTCATTTGTAAAGTGAGGTAAAACCACTCATTACAGAATGGTTTTAAAGGTCAAGTGAGATAATTATGTAACAACACATCTTTCTGCCTACAGTTAACTAAATCTGGGCAAAAGAAAAACCAATCAAGCTTTAAAACTGCTTCCTGGATACTCAGTTCTCTGAAGAAAGAGTTTCAATATCTGTCTAAAAGGAAAAGGGTAAATTGGTCCAAGTGCTAAGTAGTGAAGAGGTTTGCGTGGCCCTTTTACTCTGAATGTAAATCACCAAGGAAAGGACCAGCTTGTAAGAGAAGGGAATACAGCACAGCACAGCACTGCACAAAGGGCTGGGAGAGTCAGGAGGTTTGGCTTCCAAGGTCAGCTGTGCCCTTAACTTCCCAGTGACTCCTGGAGCAAGCACCCATGTATAGTAAAAGGAGGTACTGGACCAACAGAGGAGGTGCTAAGGTACATGACTTCTGCTCATTTTAGGAGAAAAGAACAGGATCAGAAAAAGAGTTTGTATTTGTGAAATACCTACATCTTTAGAAAACCCAGAAATTAAGCAAGGAGTAGAGAGTTTTAACTGTAAGAACAGAAAAGCTATCTGCCAGCTAAAATCATAGTTGAAATAGTTTCCACCCCCACAAACATCCATCAGCAAGCATGAGGCACTGTTCAGTAAGCTACAACTTACCTCTACATTGACATTCCGGATTTGCACGTTGATCAAGGAGAACTCCTGTTGCAGAGTCTGAGGCAGACCCAGCTGATCTGACTTCCTCTCTTCCAGGAGACTGCTAGGGGGATCTTCCTTAACCACTGGCAGAAAAGATGGTCAGTGTTGGAAAATATTTTTGATGAGTAGGTTCTGGAGTATTTACTGTACAATTTGTGGCCCCTCCCCTAAGACATCAGTCTGACACATTACCTTCTTCCTCTCCATGGCTTGAGTTATGCTGGTGATCTGAATCTTGAGTGTGCAGGGTCTTCTCTGGTTCTGGCAGAAGAGAAATGCTCTCAATGAACTCATCAACACCATCTAATATGTCATTGGCACAGAGCTGCAACAAAGGGTAGAAGATGAGGGACCAAAGGATCAGTGGAAATGATCAGTCTGCCTGGCTAAGAGCTCTGATTTAAAAATGGGACTTATACAGGATAGATGTGTCAGCGAAGAACTGGTAGAATCAAAATAGTTTGTGACCATCACCAACTCCCCCTGGTTAAATACACAGGATAACACCCTATTATTCTACTCCAGACATTAAGAGTTTATGAAAGGCTCAGAGAAAATTAAATTCCAATAATGGAGTTATTCAACTAATCCATAATGATAACCTCAAAGCATCTGAGCAAATGACACCTTTTGGAGAAAATAGGTTGAAAAGGCAATAATGTGATGGGACCAGGCCAAAATGCTCAACAATGATTTTATTCTAAGCAATATTACAAAATTTCCATTAGTTCTATGCAAAGTGGTGTTCCAGGTGCATGGAGGATGCAATACCAGTCAGGCACATTTCTTCCCACCAAGGGATTAAGCCACTGAAGGAGGAAAAGAGAGCCCCATGACAAGGCAGAATTGAATTGAGTCACAAGAGCAATTCATGCCAGTTACCACTGTGGTTTATGTAACAAACAAATATCACGTTTGAAAAAGACTGGAAATAGCTTCATAGAAAAGGCTGTGTTGATGGAAGAAAGGACTCTGAATGCCCGCAGAGAACAAGGGTAGGCTTCTTAGCCCATTAAAGACAATGAAATGAAGCCAATGGCCACTTGCTCAGTGTGTACCCACCCTATCTTGTACTAGGACAAGGGGAAAAAAATACTGACAGGCTCTTCAGCCTCAAAGTGCTAAACACTTTAGTTCTTAAAGATCTCAAAGCCAGTATGGCATGTATAAACCATTCAGCCAACAAGTCATGTGTGTGAGGTGTATATCATGTATCCTCTACCTTCACAAATACTGGAAGAAACTTCTGCTGTTGTTAACTTTCTAGTTTATCCAGCTATACACCTCCACAAAAGCACTGAATACATACCCTTTGCATCTGGTAATCCACTCGCCACATTCTCAAAGTCTGATCCCGGGACCATGTAACCAGTTGGTAGTCCTTGGAACCTAGAAATCACCAAATAAAAATCATAAACTAGGCATGGTGACACATGTTTATAATCCCAGTGACTTGGGAGGCTGAGGCAAAAGGATCACAAGTTTAAAACTAGCCTCAGCAACTTAGCAAGGCCCTAAGTAACTTAGTGAGACCCTGTATCAAAATTAAAAAATAAAAAGGGCTGGGGATGTGACTCAGTGGTTAAGCACCTCTGGGTTCAATCCCTGATACCCCCCCCACCAAAAAAAGAATCCTAAAAATACTTCTGAATTTGACATCTGTTTTCTTATAGGTCACAATAGAATGAAATTCATTCATAGGTATATAGTACAAATAAATATTTACTACACATTTCCTCTACACCAGGACTGTTTAGGCAGCAGAACAATAGCATGAGTAAAATAAACTCTATCATTAGAGATCTCACATTACAACCATGGAAAAAGTAAATAAATATGTAATAAAATGGTAGTGCTAACTGCATAAAAAAAAAAACATAGAATAAGAGGACAGAGAGAGATTTATTTTTAGAGAGGCCTCCCTAAGGAAGTCCCATTTCAGCAGACACTTAAATGAAGTGAAATAATAACTGGCAAATTAGCAGTTGGAGATGATGCTGAGATTTAATGTCACACTAAACTTTCACCTCTGCAAGTATTCTTCCTTTTATATTATAGGCCCCGTGGGAGCTGGGGGTGAATATAGTTTTTGTAAAAATTGATTGTTTTAAATGCATGATAACATCTTACTATTCAAAAGAATTTTTTTGGTAAAGTGACACATCTCTTAAAAAAATGAATAATCAATTTTTAATTTTCTTAATTGACTGAATCAGATTTTCACATATCAAGTCTGGTCCAGAAGAAATTATTCCAAAAAGGTTCAGGGTCCTTTTTGAAAGATCAGAACACTCAGGGTAATTATGCAGCATTTAGAATCTCCTCCATGGCTAACTAAAGAACGCAAAGAATCCAGAAATAATTTCATCTAGCTCTCTCACTTTATGGATGGAGAAACTGAAGCACGGTATGTCCAAGGTAATAGGGTGGGGGAGCAATAAAACATGGCTCAATTCTCTTCCTTGTAAGTTCCTTTTCTGTGCCACTCCCTTCAACCAAAAACTCATTCCCCTGGGCACATCTAACAAGATAGCAACTACTCTGAACTTCCGTGGAGTTCCACCATCTAGTCTCATGTTGATGGTCATCAATTTTCTGACCCTACAACCAGCCTCTCTGCATGCTCCTGACTAAGGAAAAGATAAGCCAAAGTGCTCTGTAAACCAGCTCTTCTATCTGTACCTTCTACCCCATTCCCACCCCGCTGCCAAAAGGTCCTGCTAGCTCACTGACTTCCTTTCTCGCATCTTCTCCCTGACTTCAAAGAGAGAGGCAGGAGGCTCCACCAGCAGGCTCATTTCACTCTTTGCCTTTGAAGGTAGCAAAACTGGTTCCTGCTGCCTGTTTATGGCACCTCAAGATCTGGCTCCCCGACTCAAACTGCTTTGGCATTCCCCTCTTAATGATCACACGACTTCCTTTTCATTGAACTAAAATGCTTTTCTCCTACTCTGCATTTTGACCCTTCAGCAATACCCACAGTCAATGCCTACCACTTCCTCCAGGATGCATCCTTTGCCCTTGGCCACAACATCTGATTCTCTTCCTACCTCTTTTTTTTTTTTTTTTTTTGAAGGGAGGAGATAATTTTTTTTATACCTTTGTTTTATTTATTCATTTTTATGTGGTGCTGAGGATCAAACCCAGGGCCTTGCACGTGCTAGGCAAGCCCACTGAGCCACAACCCCAGCCCTTCCTACCTCTTTGAGAGATCCTTCCTCTCAGAGAAAATCAAAATCAAAGCATGAGGTGATTCAATAAAAACTGACTAAGAAGACAGCAGTAGAAATAAATCAGAGCAATATTAGATTGGGAAGGAAGTAAATATAAAAACACATTAAAGGATAATAAATTTAGAAAAGGTTCAAAAAGAGGCAAACCTAAACTATTCTTAGGAATTCATAAATAGGTGGTAAAACCATAAAGGAAAAAATAGAAATTGCTATCCTAAATGTCAAGATGAGAGGAACATGATCAGGAAGACTCTGGGATCCTGGCAATGTTCTTTCTTAACTGTGATGGAATTTACACGGGTTTTCACTTCATAACTATTAAATTGTTCATGTTCAATGTAATTTTCTAGATTTCACAATAAAAACGAACTTTATAAAAACCCCTATAATTTATAACGGAAATTTCAGTAATAGTTAGAAAGTTCCCACCACTTAAAGATGACATAGATAATTAAAAATGGGTTGTTAAAAACTATTTATTTGAATCCAAAACTACAGTCAACCCTTCCTGACAGATTATAGGGTGATTACATCATCTATTTCCTATGGCAAAATGCAAGAGATTTAAGTCAAAAGCCATGCATACAATTGGTGGGGTAAAGATCAGAAAGCATGATGTTTCTGGAAGCAACAGAGATTTTGGAGATTTTGGAGAAAAGAATAAGAAAGTTAAGAGGATGATGAAGAATCTCTCTAAAAAAATATTCTGGGGGGGCTGGGGTCATGGCTCAGTTGGTAGAGTGCTTGCCTAGCATATGTGAGACACTGGGTTCGATTCTCAGCACCACATATAAGTAAATAAATAAAGGTCAATCAACAACTAAAAGTAAATAAATAAATATTCTGGGAGGCCAAACAACAGTCTTCTTTCCCACCCACCTTCCTTCTGTCTCCTCCACTGGAACTCCAGCACCACGTCATCGTGTCCCACAAAGGTGTGGACGGGAGTGTTCAAATCAAAGACATTCCACAGGAGCAGACTATTTTCCCTCCGCAACTGGGGAACCATCACAGTCACTAATCCATTGCTGAAAGGCTACGGCAAGAAAGGGAAAAGTGGTAATTATTCCAGGGACAATCAGCCAAGTCTCAGCTTCTAAAGGTGGGATTCTTCCTAAATAAAATACATTACGTGATGGAAGGCTCCAACCCTTGTAGGGGAATGACCGTCACACCTAGCCTTCGCTCTGCTTATGGAAGAGACCACAGCAAGTGAAAAATAAGAGAGAACTTTGGAAACTTTGGGAGAACTTTTGGAGAACTTTCAAAATTCTACAAAAAGCAATGCTCTAAGTACTGTGTCACAGCCAAGTTACCCTCCATGAGTTCCCTCTCAAAAATAAGCACATGAGTCTGCCTGGGAAAAGCCGTGGAGTAGCAATCATTCCGGCCGTGTGGAAAGGGCAGAAGCACACCATTCACAAGAAGCATCACCTTCCACTGCCCCAGTACTACAACTACTGAAAATTAAACTCACTAACCTCAAGACTGATGTGCTTTACCTAGCAACACCCAATCTGCTAGGGACCTAAGAGGCCCATCTGGTTGATAACTAGATTGTGTTAGTCAAGGAATAATAAGGGCATATTCACTTATCTTCACTTCCTCTCCTGGTAACACACCTGGACTTATTCTGTTTATTTTTAAAAGCAAACATTAATCCAGAGCAGTGTATCAGCTCATAAGAACAGTGTCTGATTTCTTAACGAATGTTCCCAGATGCAAAAACAACTTAGACCCAATTATCTTCACTACTCCCCAATGCCCCACAGTGACAGCCTAATGAATAAAGACAGCTTTACTCACCCCTATGACATTAAAGGAAATATATTAACTCCCACCAGTGGCTATCAATGTGGCCACTGAAAAATGGCTGGTGAGTTGGTAATAGTCTACCATCTTTACATATAGTATTTCATGATTATTAAGCATTTCACATACATTATCTCAAAAGGAAGGTAGATTGTGAACGTACTAAATGTCACCAAATTATCCACTTTAAAATGGTGAATTTTTCTTTTAAGGTGAAAACTTAGGAAGAGTTATCTTGTAAGAAAAATGTCAGAAAATAAATCAACAAGATACAGCACAGGGTGCTACTAGACACAACAAGTACCCTGAACATTAGAAATGACATTTTGATAGCTAATAGGTCCCAGAGAACAAAATTTATTGTTATATTTGAACAACATTAGTTCTAAATTATACTCTCCCTGAAATACCATTGACTTAATACAGTGGCTACATTTATGAAGACATTTCAGAATCTAGCCTGCGTTCACATTGCAGAAAGAATTTAATTATAATGATTGTGGGAAATCCAGTCAACCTTAAACATGATATTGCAAAGCAAGGATAATGCTAAAATATTTGATGGGGAAAAGGTTACAAACTGAAAATTTTTATGACAGGTACTGACAAGCTCAAAAACAGACCCACACACTATGCCTTACACCTCCTGACATGGTCAGACACAGAACCTTTTCATTTTGCCCCTCACTGACTTTATTTTATTGCTTATGACTTATTTTTTTAAATTCTAATTTGTTATATATGACTCCAGTATGCATTACAATTCATATTACACATATAGCGCATAATTTTTCATATCTCTGGTTGTATACAAAGTATATTCACACCATTCGTGTCTTCATACATGTACTTAGAGTAATGATGTCCATCTCATTCCACCATCTTTTTTACCCCCATGTCCCCCTCCCTTCCCTCCTACCTCTTTGCCCTATCTAGAGTTCGTCTAATCCTCCCATACTCCCCCTCCAAACCCCAATATGAATCAGCCTCCTTATATCAGAGAAAACATTCAGCATTTGTTTTTTTGGGATTGGCAAACTTCACTTAGCATTATATTCTCCAACTCTATCCATTTGCCTGCAAATTCCATGATTTTATTCTCTTTTAATGCTGAATAGTATTCCATTGTGTGTGTGTGTGTGTGTGTGTGTGTGTGTGTGTGTACCACATTTTCTTTATCCATTCATCTACTAAAGGGGCATCTAAGTTGGTTCCACAGTTTAGTTATTGTGAATTGTGCTGCTATAAATATTGAGGTGGCTTTGTCTCTATAGTATATCTCAGCTTCTAAAAGTGGGATTCTTCCTAAATAAAATACATTATGTGATGGAAGGCTCCAACCCATGTAGGAGTAGGATAGCTGGGTTAAATGGTGGTTCCATTCCCACCTTTCTAAGGAATCTTAAAATGGTGAATTTCAGTATAATAAAAAAGGAAGACATAGTAAAAATCATTCTCCATATTCTACAGAGTATAAAATTTCCACTCAAAATCAACTGGCTGGTCCAAGGCTCACACTAACATTAAATGGCAGAGCTGGGCCTCAACCCAGGTCTTCTGAATCTAAAGTCAGAGATCCTTCCTTCATAGTTCACTGGCTTCCAGCTCCTCAAGCCTCTCCTCCGTCTTCCCCATGGCCCTCCCTAGTGAACACGTTCACACCACCCAGCTTCCCCGTTGAGCTAGGTGGTCAGCAATTCTAACACAGAACCTATCCAACATTCCAAGAGTAAACTTTAAGAAGTTAACAGCATTTATGCCATCATTACTATATTTACTGTGCCCCAAACCACGACAGAAGAGAAAAGTGCCTCATGAAGAAAATAAAGAGAAAATATCCCTTGGCCCCTTGTGTATAGAACTCCAACAGGAAGTTCCCCAGCCAGAGGAAGGGTATCTCACTCACTGTGTATCTGGCCTTCCAGACAGGCACCTGGCAAGGGAGAATATTGAGGTATTTCCGAGGTTGGCGGTAATCCCAGAACTAGAAGAAAAAAAGATAATTTATGAAATAAATGCCATTTTAAAAACTCCAAACTCATTGCTTTTTATCCTCCAAAGAAACATCTCAATAGTGTATTTTTAGTTCCTCCCCCATAAATATGCTGCTGTGAGAGACATGAAGAATCTCCCTTTTACATTTATAAACATTACAGAAGAATTTCTGGACTTCACCAGGACCACCAGTCGGGGCAGATCATTGTCAGGCAATCTGCCTGTTAAATGACCTTTGTAGCTGAAAGGTTAGAATGACAGATTTTGATCCTATATTGCTTTTATACAATATAAGTAATTTAATAATAATAGCTGAAATGCCCTACTTACAGCGTTTCAGATATATATTTAAAACTTTAAGTTTTTGATCCCATTTAATCTTTATAACAACTGTAGAACAGATGTTTTTAATCCCTTTTTCAAATTTAGAATTGGATGGTTTCTGGTTCCTGAACTTGGGAGACAAGCTGATGGGGATGAGGGACAAAACCCCCAATACAACAAACAAACAAAACCAAACAAGCAACTTCYGGCATATGAGAATAAATTATAGCCAGATGCAGGGACACAACACCTGCAATTTCAGCTACTGGGGAGGCTGAGGCAGGAGGCTCACAAGTATAAGACAAGCCTGGGTAACTTGAAGAGATCTTGTCACAAAATAAAAAATATAAAAAGCCTGGGGCTGTAGCTCAGTGGTAGAGAGTGCCTGCCTAGCAGACACAAATCCCTGGGCTCAATCCCCAGTAGCAGGAAAACAAACAAAAAAAACTATTAGAACTCCAGGGGAATTAYAAACTTTAATACAGAACTTTTTTTTAGTTATAGATGGACACAATATGTTTATTTTATTTTTATGTGGTGCTGAGGATTGAACTGGTGCCTCACGCATGCTAGGCAAGAGTTCCACCTCTGGGCCACAACCCCAGCGCCGGAAATTAACTTTTAAGCCTTATGCATTACTCCAGTTTTGCTAACCATACTGAAAGACCTGTACATAGCTGTGTGAACAGAGCATTAAATTAATGATGCTGAATCAAGCAATTGCTAAACTAACTTGGTTGGTTAAATCCCTGTCCTGCCAACTTTCTGATCAAGGGTACACAGCACATGCCATAGCAGGGAAAGGAAAACAAGAAACACTGTGCTCTGACATAAACCATAACTGGGTCATTGAAATGTGTAAAACCTTGAGCATTTCCTGTAAGTTAGAGAATRCCTAGCGAAACAACTCCATCTCTGACTTTTGCAATGCTGATGTCTGAAATGTCATCACTTTTGCAGGTTTGATAATCAGAGGAGAAAACTGCTGTTTCCACGCTGAACAGACTGATCGTAAACTTGGCAACCTTAACAATTTTGCGGGCTTTTCTCCTTTACTTAGATCTCTGCGTATATCTGACTTCCTCGCAAGTAAACTTCTTTCACTTTCTAAATGCTTTGATCTCTAACTTACTTTCACAGAGGAAAAGCAAATCTTCTGAACAAATTCTCAGAGGCATCTCAGGCAGATGCCACAGCATCACTCCTGCAGGTTGTTACAATCAGGTTTACTTGCGTGGCTCTTCAAGAGGTACTTGCACCATGAAGCACACAGAGAATGCTCTAGCATACCTAGAGCTTTCCTCCCAAATGCTGTCACACATCTGTGACACCTCCCAAACACAGCTCCTCCAACCATCCCCCAGTAACGCACTCACCTTGACAGAGTTGTCTTGACTGGAGGTAGCGAGAATGTGCTCACTGTCTGGATGCCAGTCCAGGCCGTGGATTTTGGAGAGGTGGGCTGCTAGATATTCTACTGCTGTACTGGGTTTCTGCAACAGATTGGCACTGAGTTTGTAGGTTTAGGAAGAACTCATTGAGTGTCTACCATGTGACAGTGTGTTGGGTGCTGAGGGGGGTAAAAAAATACTGCCAGATACTGTCTCTGCCCCTTGGAAACTCCATTTTCTTTCATTCAAGCAATACAAATCAAAGAAAACAAAGGACTTGTCTGGCTCTCCTTCACATGCTGCCAGCCTGATCCTATGATCCAGCCTGAGGCATGATTTTCAGGAAAAATACAGGTAGTAGGTGTTCTTTACCCAGGACAGTGGAATCTGCCTACTCCTACTCCCAGTCCTCACAATCACCAACCAAGAGGGGCTGTGGCATGCAAAGGGACCCAACTTCAACCTTGAGGGTGAAATCATCAGGTACTAAGATCTCAAACAGAATGAATACACACAGAAAACACATTGATCAGCATAGTAAAATGAACCTACTCAGAAAGAAACCTCAGAAATGTACATTAAAACAAGATTTTTTAAACTATCAAATTAGAAGATGTTTTTAAATAATATTCAATGCCATTGAGGCTGCATCTATCACCACTGATGAATGTATAAAATAGTATAATATTTTTTGGAAAAAAATTCAGCAAATTTATCCTGAGACTTAAATTTTTCCTTTCTTAGGTGAATAATCCAAATTCACAAAAACCTTTACATCTAAAGATGTTCATCTTAATAAAATAATAATAATATTGGTATTATTTAGAACACTAGAACACCAGGAACCACCTAAACATCGTAAGTGAGAAATAATTAATTAAATCAAYTATACTATAGCTTTGTGATAGGCTACGATATAGCTGCTAAAGATACTTAGAGCTTATAATATGGAGAAAATGCATCAGTTATAATGTTAAGTGAAAAAAGTACACACAACTATATACACAATATGATAAACTATGTTTTTAAAAATGTATAGGAAAAAAAAAACAAACTATTAGCATTTGTATTGGGACAGTAAGAATATGAATGATTTTTATTTTTTCTTTTTATTTCCCCTACAAGGAACATATATCACTTCTATAGCAGGCATCAGTCTGTAAGTTAAGAGTACAGAGTCCAGGTGCAAACTAAGTTCAAGTCCTAGCAACAAACGGTGCCTCAGTTTACCCTTCTGTGAACAAGGATCAAAACAGTCCCTACTGGAAAGTCTAATTACAAAGAGAAATTAATCCACACACGTGACTCTCTTAGAACAATGCTGATGCCCAAGAAACGCTTACTAAACATTAGTGCTTTTAGTCACATGTGAGCCTGGGTGGAAATCCAATTTCACTTTTTAGGCCTCTGATGGTGGCTGTCATCAGTGCTGCTTTGACACTAGAAAGTGCCAGAGAAGTGAAAATACAATCACAAGTTTAAAACTCACCTGAGCAAGAAGTTTTTAGTATCAACAGGAAAATAAAAGCAAACTAAAATCCTTTCAACAAAATAGATAAAAAGGCAGAGAGAAGTTGGTGACATTAGTGGACCAATTAGGAAACTAGAAAGAAATACTAACAGTCTATTCTTTTAAGATAAGGAAAACATACTGCCAGAGTTCAGGGTGAAATGCAAAATTGCTTACATTGCTTATGGCTCTGGAACCAACCTAAGGCAAATATAAAGCACTGCGGGTTAACCAGATGTATTCTATACAGATCATTTCTGACAAATGACAAACTGAATAAAACCAATCACCAATTTAAGAAACAAAGTGGGGGGGCTGGGGTTGTGGCTCTGCGGTAGAGCACGTATGAGGTGCTGGGTTCGATCCTCAGCACCACATTAAAAAAAGATAAAAAATAAAACAAAGGTATTATGTCTGACTACAACTAAAAATTAAAAAAAAAAAAAGAAAAGGAAAGAAACAAAGGGGAAAGTGGACCTTACCAACCTACACAAACAGAAGAAAGAAACTACCACACTGAAGATGCCCTGTGCAAGCCCTACACAATCACCTTCTTTCCTAAGAGCTGGCTAAGGCAGGGGCTTCAGGCAGCAGGTCCTGGAGCCTAATMCAACAGACAGGAAGGATCTGCCATACACAGTCTCAGCTTCACCTCCCTCTTCTCTTCCAAATGTACCCTGTGCGGCCAGAAGTGATGCTGAGACTTTACAGTCAGCACCTGGTTTGGGACATCAATGAAAAGTCCTCCACACAAATTCMTGAGGATCCCTAGCCTCAAGATTCACAAAGCAGGAGATGGTACTTACATCCCAGGTCTTAAAAAGCTGACCCCTCTATGATTTATCTGGCAGTAAGATGTGGGGGAGCCCTTTCCCACATCATATTCTCAACAATGCCAACATAGGAAACTTTCCACTGACTTCCCATTATACCTAGGGCCCTATTGGTGCATGCGCAGAGTTCATGGCAGTGGGAATATGTGATCAACCTGAAGGTTATTTTGAGACTGTGAGCTATCTAGGCTTCTAGGGGCATGGCATTTGAGTATAAAGTTCCCTGCCTCAGTGACCTATACTGAGGTATTCAGATGGTCTACACCGTGGAGTTAATGGTTTCCACTTGGCAAACGGGCATGGATCCGAAGCCTACTAATCACTGAATTAAGAACAGTGTTGGGACCCCAGGGCTTGACCTCAATGACACACGGACTATTATCTTTACTTGGAAGATAAAGACACTTAGTGAGGTTGTGGTGACTTGCCTGATGTCCTAATGAGGAGCAGCACAATAGGCTCTAACAGCCAAGTTCATTGTCTTAACCTCTGGTCATAATGCCCCACTCCCCAACCTTCTTTCAACATCAGTTTAATTGAGAAGCAAATGCTATCTGGTACTTTGAGTTTAAAATGACAATACGTCATGCCACAGAGTCCCCAGACTGCTAAGACAAGCCCTGGACTCATAACATGCTCTCCACACCCTCTGGGAGAGACGAAAGACCAACAACAGGGGAAAAGGTTACTCACCCGCTTATCCCATATCCGTACATCACCGTCATGGCTGGTGGCGAGGCAGTTTGCATTTTTTTTATTCCATTTGACCTGGGAAGCACCAGCTGCAAAGAAAACCAGGAGAAGAAAGCTGCTGCCCTCACTGCCTTCTGAAGCAGAATGAAGCCGATCCAGGGGAGGGGGACAATGAGCTCTGGTCAATGAACAGAAAAATCCTTCCAATTCCTAGGACTACATCAGCTCCACCGTTACAGATAAAAAGCAGCCAAAAGGGAGTGAATTAGCACACTGAAAACAGGATCAGAGTTACTTAATCAAGGAAATAATTCCAGAAAAAACCCGCAGGTTACTCTAAGCAGGGAGGAAAATCTAGCTTCTTAGGGGACCGGCAGTTGAATACTGGCTAAGCCTAGCATTGGTTGGTACCTGACCCCTCCTTGTCCCCAGCACACCAGACAGCCTCGCCTCAGCTCTGTGTTGGCTCTGTCCCACCAGTAGTCATAGTTGTTGTTTTTGAGGGACAGTCTTAAAAAACAGGCTCAAGCCAAAGCTCAGCTGAAGAGTCAACCCCAGAGCAGTCCGACTCTGCCCTCAGAGGTCCTGTGCTCCAGTGGACTCTCATCTCCCCATCAGCAGTTAGAGAGGCCATTGGCACTGGGCTTGTGGGGTCAGGATGGTGTGAAAACTCAGTCCTTTTCTCTCTGAGCCAATCCAGAGAGGCAAGAACAGTGTCAAAAGAGAACCTAAAACAGGAGACACAATGAGAGATGCCAGGCAGGGCTGAGACAGGGCAAACTGGGACACAGTGGCACTTCTAGCTAAGTCCTATAAAATGAATCGAGTCCTTCAAGTCAAACCAGCACCATGCTGCTGGCCCTCCTTCCTGCCTCTTCTCATCTGTGCCCACACCACAGCTGACAGGACATCGGTGCCACCTTTCCCTGAGGAGACCCCATAGGTGCAGGGCTTCAAGAACGACTTGATCCAAGAAGCCCAGGCAGCAAGCACCAGAACCTAACAGGACAGAGTGAAGGCCAGAGCCTGTCCTTGCCCACCGATATCTTGTGGTGGGTCTGAAAAGTGTTCATTTGTCTTGTTTGTTCTTTTCTTCCCCTGCACCACCCACTCCCCCATTGTTTTGTTGTTATTTTTGCTTCACTAAGGAATTCTTAATCTTTATTTTTTCGGTACTGGGATTGAACCCAGGGGAACTTTACCACTAAGCTATATCCCTRGTCCTATATAACCATTAATATTTTTTCGAGACAGAGTCTCACTTAGTTGCTGAGACTGAKCTTTCTTTCAGTATTTTTTAAAAGACTTTTWAAAAAAATATTTATTTTTTTAGTTTTAAGTGGACACARTATCTTTATTTTACATTTATGTGGTGCTTAGGATCGAACTCAGTGGTTCAAGCATGTTAAGTGAGCACTCTACCACTGAGCCCCAACCCCCGYCCCCCCACCCCAGACTGATCTTGAACTTGTGATCCTCCTGCCTCAGCCTCCCCAGTCGCTAGGATTAAGGTGTGCAACACCTCACCCAGCTTAATTTATTTTTAACTATACATATTTATGGGGTACAGTGTGGTAATTTGATATATCCATACAATGTATAATGACCAAATCAGGGTAATCAAATTTCCATCTCCTTAATCATTTATCTTTTCTTTGTGATGGGAGATTTTCAAATGCCTCTGGTTCYAGTTCTTTATAAAACACAAATAAACGGTTGTAAACTATAGTCACCCTACCATGATACAAAACAGTAGAACTCATTCCTCCTTTTTAACTAGGTTCTGTTACACAACCCCCTTTTGTCCTCCTGCTCCCCAATTTGTCTTGTTTTCTCTCAAGACAGAGGGCACCCTAAGTTGGTAAGAATAAAAGCTGGAGAACACTGAAGATGTGGTACATTATGTAGGAGATTCAGTTTCTTTGCAAGAAAGGGCACAGCTAGAGGAAGAACAGCAAGAAGAGTTTGCTCCATTTCCTCTGGACAATTACTTACACCATAATGAATATGCCTTTCCCAGTGGGGTCCTGTCAGAACACAAAGGCTTCCAAAGGGTTCTGGGAACCCCCAATCCAACCTGCTTTATTAGGATCACACAGAGCAGAGAATTGTTGTAATCTACAGTCACCCTACCATGATCCAAACCAGTAGAACTTATTCTACTGTTTAACTGGAGCACACAGAGACATGCTCTTACTGACCCCCCAAAGGGCATCAACACTGACAGACAGAAACCACAGACTCTGGGGAGCAGGTGCTAGCCAAGCCTGCACCTCTTGGGGAATGTTAAATGGAGCAGCTTTTAAGGATTCACAAGCCTGTCATTTGCCTTTTTCTCCCGGGGTAGTTCTGATACCACTGAGAAACCTCATTGAGGTACAAAAAAGGAGAGGAATCTCCTACYTCTAATTTTTAGAACCTAGAACAAAAAGAAAACAATCAGAACAAGTGGGCTGAAAAAAATGACTCATTTTTTTACGGTTTCTCTAAAACCAATCTAGAAATCTGTAGGTGTAAGTAACAAAGTGAGGGGAATGTGACTTAAGCGTTTACAGACCATTCGTATTTTTATTCAGTTGTATGTCTTTGGCAGCCAACCTTTGTCTCAGATAAGAGTCCAGAGTCGGTGATCAGATCCACAGAGCCTTAAGCACCTAACACAGCTCGGGTGCTTGATTCCTGTGTCTATCTGTGCAAACTTTTTTTTTTCTTTTTTTTCAGTACTAGGGATTGAACCCAGGGATGCTCTACCACTGATCTACACCCAGTCCTTTTTACTTTATTTTGGGACAGGGTTTAAGTTGCCCAGGCTGGCCTCAAACTTGAGATCCTTCTGCCTCAGCCTTCCCAGTAGCTGGGATTGCAGGCGTGCACCACCACTCCTGGCTAACGCCATTTATTAAGCATCTCCTTGGCCAGGACTGTAATGCAAATATAGGTGCCAAGAGGTTAGGGACCGTGTCTGTGATAGCATGTATATATCACAGATGGTACATAACACAGGTCAGCTGGATAGCAGCTTAAGCACAATCAGGGTGGTAAGTGTAAATACTGGGATGTGAGGGCACAGAGGACTGAAGAATCATGTAACCATTTTAGAACAAACACCAAATGTGTATTCAGGTGTATCAAGAAGATGCAAAGGAACAGGATTTAACAGATAGAAAATATATGATTTTATCAAGGGTTCCAAAATACTGGTGACTGGACTTCGCCACTGTAAGTTATGCCAGTTTCAAACCCACATTTTATTCTGGGAAGTGGGGGGAATATTCCCCCCAGCACAGCTGAGAGTTCCAAAAATAGCTCCAACTAAGCAACGAAAACAGGTAGATCAGAAAGTAATTTCAAAGACTCAATTCATCCATGTCAAATGATACCGTGGGGACATAATCAGCGTAAATCTAGATTGTAGAGAAAGCACAAGACAACCTGGTTTCTTCAAATAAGTAGACTGTGCAGGAAAAGAACAAACAAACCCAAACAGGAGAGGGAGACTAAAAAAGATGAGAAAAGTATCAATTACTTGGAAGTCCAGACTTTATTTTAATTCTGACTCAGTTTTGTTTGTTTGTTTGTTTGTTTTTTAAGAAAGAGAAATGGGCAGGGCACAGGGGCACACACCTGTAATCCAGCAACTTGGGAGGCTGAGACAGGAGGACTGCAAGTTCAAGGCCAGCCTCAGCAATTTAGCAAGACCCTAAGCAAATTAGTGAGACTCTGTCTCAAAATACAAAATAAGAAGTGTTGGGGATGTGACTCAGTGGTAGAGTGCCATTGAGTTCAATCCAAAGCATAAAAAGAAAAAGAGTGAGAGCAAGAGCAGGGCTGGGGGGCCTAGGGGTGTAGGTCAGAAGCACAGTGTGCTTAGCATGCACAGAGCCCTGGGTTTGATCCCCAGCACCAGTTTTTAAAAAAAGAGAAAGAGAGACAGAGATACCCCTGGGAAATTCAGAAAGAGACCACTGGGGAAACCTGAATACTTCTTAGATATCTGAAGATACTAAGGAGCCATTATTAATATTTTAGGTATGTTAATGGTACAGTGATTACTTTCTTTTTTAGGGATTTTCTTTTATAATACATAATACATGTTGAAGAAATGACACAACACCTAAGCCTTGCTCAAAATAATCACAAAGGAATGAGGGTAGTGGGGGAGGCAGTGGATAGAGGTAAAGATGAAAGGAGACTGGATGATTGATGACAATCACTGAAGCCCCAAGGGTGGGGGGAGGGGAGGGGGGGCTAAGGTAGGGTTAGGGTTAGGGTTAGGGTTAGGGTTAGGGTTAGGGTTAGGGTTCGGAGCAATGTGAGCAAAGTGAGCACCTTGCAACGTGGGACTTGCAATTTTACCCAGCAGGGCGTAGGACATGAGTGGTCAGACCACGAGGAGCAATGAAATGGCCAGGAGTGGGAAGCACTGGGATGAAGGCACACCAGGGACGACACACTCACCTACAGCAGAGAGCGCAACAGTGGGTTTCCTTGTGTCTCTGAAACACAAAAATCGGAAGTCAAATGCCCAATTCATATGCCCCCAGCCACCTGGTACTTTCCACTCTCTGGACATACTTTCTTCACTCTACTCTCCCAGGAACCTGGAGTTAGATCTGCTGAGAGGGCCTTAAAAAGACGTGTAAAGAGAAACCTGTTTTCCCTCTAGGTAGGTGAACTTTCTCAGCCACTATAATGGAGGCTGAGTTTGAATTTCAAATCATACAGTTAAATCCACAGAAAAGATTACATGACTTAGGATGGCCTGGGTAGCCCCAATGTGGCAGGAGAGGAAGCCAAAGAATCCCCTCCTGGGGTCATTACTGCCATGGCAACGTGTGACAGGGCAGTGTAATCCAAGAACCTTCCCAACAGCATTTCAAAGGTGGATTATAAAACTTCTCTGAGTGCCYGGCATGGTGGTGCACACCTTTAATCCCAGTGGCTGGKGAGGCTGAAACAGGAGGATCACAAGTTCAAAGCCAGGCTCAGCAACTTAGCAAGGCCCTAAGCAACTTAGTGATTAAAACTAAAAATAAAAAGGCCTGAAGATTTTGCTCAGTGTTTAAGCACAAAAAACCTGGTGGAATGAGATGGACATCATTACCCTAAGTACACGAATGAAAAAACAAATGGCGTGCCTCTACTTTGTCTACAACCAGAGATATGAAAAAGTGTGCTCTACATGTATAATATAAATTGTAATGCATTCTGCTGTCACATATAACAAATTAAAATTTAAAAAAATAGAATCTTAAAAAAAAAAAAAAAAAACACTTCTTTGGTTGTTCCCAATAGCCATGGGGCAAAAGGAATAGACAAAATGTGGTATGTCCATACAATGGAATATTATTCACCTTTAAAAATGAAGAAAATTCTGGCATATGACATAAAATAGATGAACCTCAAAAACATTATGTAAGTAAAACAAGCCATCAACAAAAAGATAAACTTGGATGATTCTGCTCACATGAAGTAATTACAGCTGTCAAAGTTTGCTTAACAAAAGGTAGAGTTGTGCCAGGTGCAGAGGCACATGCCTGTAATCCCAACAGCTCGGGAAACTGAGGCAGGAAGCAGTTCAATCCCTGGTAACCACCCCATCTCCCCCCAAAAAAGTAGAGTTGTTGCCAGGGGCTGGGTGAAAAACAGAATGAGGAATTGTTTAATGTAGACAGACTGTCAGTTTTGCAAGAGGAAGAAGTTCTGGAAACCTGCTGCACCAGCAGTGTGAATACACATAGCGCTATTACCTGTGTATTCAAAAATAGTCAAGATGATAAATTTTGCATTGTGAGTTTTCTACTGCATAAAAAAGAACTACTCTGATTACAAGAGGAGAACTCTGAGAGAAACTGCACAGTTGACTATGAAGTCAGAGGGGTGCTGGGCATGGTGGCACATGCCTGTAACCCCAGCAACTGGGGAGGCTGAGGCAGGAGGACCACAAGTTCCAGGCCAGCCTGGGCAACTTAGCAAGACCCTGCCTCAAAGAAAAATTAAAAACAACCGGGGATGTAGCTTGGTAGTAGGGTACCCCTGGGTTCAATCCCCAGTACTACAAAAAAAAAGGGAAAAAAGGAAGAAGAAATCCGAGGGGCATCTTCTCCAGCAGTGGCACCCTGGGGCCAAGGAGGCCAGTGAAGGCAAATCTGCAGCTCTGTTTACTGTTTAGAAAACCTGAGGAAGAATGTGAGCTCAGTACCTTTACATCATGAAAAGACCCATTTTGTGTGAAGGAGGCGCACTCCACTCCTGCCCACAGCTCCCTGAGGACCCGTTTAGAGCTTCCACCTTCCACTTGCCCTGGACTCAGTGTGTCTCCCCGGCACTGCCCTTAGACCAAAGGGCGCCATGGGGCTCATGTATCTGCACAGTCAAGTGAGACACACGCACCTCACTCCCGCAGAGCCACTTTGCTGGTCTAGCCRGTCAGTTCCACCCCAATACCTGGCTTATCTTCTGCCTACAGTCCAAGCCTTTGTAGCTTGGTAGTAGTCCAGAGTTACCTCCAGGTGGGAAGCAGAGCACCTGGCTAGGGGAGAGGGACCCTACAGACTGCTTCCTCAGAGCAACCAGCTCTAACCATATGACAAAGGGGCACTATTCTACTTGTTGGGATTTTTTGTTGTTGTTGAAACATTGTTTTAAATATTTGTTTTTTAGTTATAGGTAGACACAATACCTTTATTTTATTTTATGTGGTGCTGAGGATCAAACCCAGTGCCTCACRCATGCTAGGCGAGTGCTCTATCTCTGAGCCACCACCCCAGCRCCTCTATTTTTGAGACAGGGTCTTGCTATGTGACCCAGGCTGGGCTCAGTCTCACTATCCTCCTGAGTCTCACCTCAGGCTCCTGAGTACCTTGGATTACAGGTGTGTGCCACCAAGCCTGGCAGGAACATCGTTCTTCTGATGTGCCAAGCCAGAGGTGGGAGCTTCTTTACTCCTTATGCCATGAGGTAGAACCCTGGGAGGTGTCCCTTAGGCCCCATTTGACAGACGTGGAGCTGAAGCCTCACAAACAACTAGTGAGGAGCTGAGCAGATGTGTGGCAGTGCCCGTCATCATCCCCTCCATCACCTGCCACTTCAGTCAACCCCGGCTYGACTTCCAAATGCAGCACCTGTGTTGCTTTGCCAAGGGGACTGYCCTGGCTGCTGCAGCCTGCTCTGAAGAACTCTGACAGGCCTGAGTGCCAGGGAACTCAGACCCCTGGGGGCAGCCTTCCCGATGACTGCAGAGTCAAACATGCTCCCTAGGCCCTCGGTGGGAAACTTCTGAGGAGGTATTCTGCAGGAGCACCAAGCACCCCCAGTGATTACACCCTACCTGTTCATGCTGGCACCCAGAGGAGGGTGCTCCCTGGCTTAACAGTCTTCCCCACCTGCCTCTCTCTTCTCCAACCCCTGCCTACGCCTCTGTCATCTCCAATATCATATACTTGAACCCAAACCCTTGTTTCAGGATCTGCATCTAGAGGAAACCAAACTAAGACATAATCTCTGAAATGAAGGTCCCCAATAATCCCACAAACAAGTGATTAAACCTCCTCATTGTTCTTACTTGATATCCCAAATGTAGATGTAGGTGTCCACCGAGCTGGTGACCAGGAGATCTGGTTCAAACACTGCCCAGTCCAAGTCGCTAGGAGAGAAGAAATTAACAGACAAAAAAAGAAAGAAAGAAAGGAAAAAGCTTCAGTTCCAAAGCACTAGTAAATCTAGTTTCCAGTGGTTTTGAATGTTACCATCAATGGGCTTCTTACTGCAGCTCAGACTGGAGATCTCCAAAGTTGTCTATGAATGAGCAAGAGTTAAATGAGCTCCGAAGGAAACATTCAGGTCCTTCTCCCTGTGGTTGTCAACTACTCTACCACCTGCTCCTAGAAAATAAATGGAGCATGGCAACTTAAAACAGACTCTCTGAATAAGTAGACACAGACAAAACACAGGGAAATCACATGAAGTAATCTTTGATTACCATTTTCTTTTTCTTTTTTCTTTTTCTTTTTTTTTTTTAGTTGTAGACGGACACAAAATCTTTATTTTGTTTATTTTTATGTTGTGCTGAGGATTGAACCCAGTGCCTCACACATGCCAGGCAAGCACTCTACTGCTGAGCYCCAACCCCAGTCCCTTGATTACCATTTTCTAAGGGAGACTCAACCACGGTACCTTGGGTAACCCACCTCTCCTAAGCGGGGTGAACAGCCATGTTCCCACACTGCCTTCCAGGAGGGCTGGCAGCCCTGGGGCTCCCTGCTTGAACCCTCAGCTCCAGGAAGGTGGTTACTCCACAGAACGCCTCACACTAGTGCCCTCACTTCCAGATCAGTTTCASTCCCCCTGAACTCCCTGATGCTATTCCCTAGAAAAAGTTTCTCCTACCAAGGAACAGCTGCCCAGGGAAAGAGAGGCTCAAGAACACTCTGGAAGGTCCTAAGTGGGAGGCAACTGTGCGCGTGGATAGCAGACTGGGGTGCAGGAGCCGACTGTAATGACCACAGTTGCTTGCTGGTGTCTCCACACACTCAGGGCACRGCAGACCCTGCCCTGGGGATTCTACTGCACACCTCCCCTGCCTCCTCTGGCAAACAGCAGCTTTGGGTCAACAGCTACATAGGTGACACTTCTTAAATATTGATTGTCCTTGGTTTCTTCACGAGCACCTTGGTGGCCCCAGGGCCAGTGCAACACACAGGGTCAAGCCATTCAAGGGGGACAGCATCTTCATTTCACTAACCAAAGTAAGACAGGCCAAGGCACTGTGGAGGGCTGGTGCCTACCTGATGACGCGCGTATGGCCCTGTAAGGTGGTGCCAACTTCCCCAGTGCCATCTTTCCACTTATAAAGGTCCACCCGTTGGTTACTCTGAAAAGAAATAAGGAAGAGAAGGCTGTGGGTAGCACCACATACCACTGGAATATAGGTTCTCACCCCAATGCTTAAGGCAAGAGGAGGTGGCCAACTGGCAGAGATCTACAGGTTGAACTTCCTAAAAAGCCAAAAGAAATTAGTATAATAAACATTAGCTTGAACAAGCCTCARCTAGTACATACAGCTATGAATTTCAAAATGGAATTGCATCATACTGATGTCTCCATGCACCCTGGGCACTGCCAAGCACGAACAGGAAGGGCACCCATCTTGAACAGTCACAGTGGACCTGGAGATGGGCTCCTGAGCATGAGCCTCATGGGCCACAGAGACAGCCCAGACCACTAAAGGAACTTCCTTGCCCCTCAGAAGGTCACACACTTAACTCTCCAAGTACTGTCACAGTGGATGCTTTCAGCTTACCCTTCTCACACCAAATGCTCAGAGTCCACCTACCTCACTTTAAAAACACAGATACATGCCAGGCATGGTGGCACATGCCTGTAATCCCAGCAGGGGGAGGCAGGAGGACTGTAARTTTGAGGCCAGCCACAGTAACTAAGCGAGGCCCTAAGCAACTTAGCAAGACCCTGTCTCAAAATCAAAAATAAAAAGGGCTGGGAATGTAGCCCAGAATAAAATGCCCCTGGGTTCAATCTCTACTACTGAAAACACACATAAACACACCCAGATACACAAGAAAGAAAAAAGAAACACCATCAAAAGGACCTGCAAGAAGGCAAAATTATACACAAGACTCCCTGAAATATGCCTAACACAAAATTTATTTGAGAGTTAAAGAGAAAGAGACAAGGAAAATGGACCAGAAGAAACTGAACTAAAAAGGGGGAAGAAAATAAAAGGCTCTATCAAAGCACATTTCATTTAAAAGAAACAGCAGAACAGTTCCCTAAATACTGTGCACTTAAACTCAAAGAGGATAAAGATACCAACAGACTGAAAACAATGGCAGGCCATGGAATACTTTCTGAACTGATAAATATAATAGACTAATTTTCATTTTAGTTCAGAGGCAGACAGTTAAATTAAGTTCTGAGATTTTTATTCTGAAATGCCAGTTTCCAAATCTAAACAGGTAAGGTTCTTGTGAAAAGGTTAGGATTCAAAATAGCTTTCAATGGGAACAGAATGAAAAGTTCCCTTATCTTATAACATTCCTACTATTTCCAGAGGGTCTGTCAGTTCTCATCCATGTACAAGGCACCTTATCCAATCTGACCTTTCTCACCTCCCTGCATGGTGAGTATCATCATCCAAATATACATGATGCGACCAAGGCTTAGAAAGTTGAGTGGCTTGCTCAAGGAAAAAAGAGTTCAAACTAGGCCTCGACTCCAGATCTGCCCAATTCTAAAGCTCTTTCTCTGCAAGAAGCTGCCTTCCAACCAAGAACAATGACAGAAAAAATAAATAAATAAACTGAACTTCATCAAAATTAAGACTTTTGTGCAAAAAAGGACACTATCAAGAGAGCGAAAAAACAGCCAGGCATGGTGGCACACAAAAACGCCTGTAATTCCAGCAGTTTGGGAGGCTGAGTCAGGAGGATCACAAGTTCAAAACCAGCCTCAACAACGGTGAGGCACTAAGCAACTCAATGAGACCCTGTCTCTAAATAAAATACAAAATAGGGCTGGGGATGTGGCTTAGTAGTTGAGTGCCCCTGAGTTCAATCCCCAGTACCACCTCCCCCACACACACACAAAAAAGAGAAAGTGAAAAAAACAATATTTCTTTGACAAATATTTTGGAGAAACTATTTGCATCACATAGATGATAAAGGTCTAGCATCCTGAATATACAAAGAACTCTTACAACTCAACAACAAAAGTATAAACAACCTGATTCAGAAATGGGCAAAGGGAAAAAAAATTGGGTATAGGGACTAAGGTTGTTACTCCACGGTACAGCACCTGCCTAGCATACCGAAGGCCCTAGGTTTAATCCCCAGTTGTGTTTCAAAAAAAAAAAAAAAAATGGGGCTGGGGTGTTGCTCAAAGCCCTGGGTTCAATCCTTAACACAGCAAAAACAACCAAGAAACCCAAAACCCAACCAAACCAAAAAGGGCAAAGGACCAGAAAAGACACTTCTTCAAAAAAAAGAGGTACATAAATGGCCAATAGCACATGCAAAGATGCTTAACATCATCAGTCATTAGAGAAATGTAAATCAAAAAAACAAAATAAGGAACCACTTCATACCCACTAGGAATGACAACAATTTAAATTAAACAACAAATGTCGGTGAGAATATAGAAAAGCTGGAAGCCCTATGCATTGCCAATGGGAATACAAAACAGATGAGCCACTGTGGGACACAGTTTGTTAGTTCCCTCAAAAAGTTATAATCAGGGCTGGGGTTGTGGCTCAGCAGTAGAGCACTCACCTAGCACGGGCAAGGCCCTGGGTTCGATCCTCAGCACCACATAAAAATAAATAAATAAAATAAAGGTATGATGTCCAACTACAACTAAAAAGTAAACTTTTTTTAAAAAAAAGTTATAACCATATAACCCTGTAATTCTACTCCCGAGCACAGGTTCAAGTACATCCACACACATGTTCAGATGGGCACAATTCAGAAGAGCCAGCAAAGAACAATGGCGTAGAATCTGGAGAAAGATGCCAGAGCTGATGGAGCCCAGGACCTTTTAGGATCATAAATTTCTCAGAAAACCTATTAAGACTTACGTGTGTTTTCCCTGGGAAAATTCACACATAAGGAGGCGTGCAGATTCAATGAGGTCAATCAATCTAAGGAATCTCAATCAAGAAGCCCCTCCTCTGAGGGGAAGGGAGTAGGGAGTCTCCTGCTCCCTCTGAGAGTGATGGGAGCAGAGCCCAGGCCCGCTCCCCAGGAATCCTCTTTAAACATCTTCCAGTCATCTGCCATCTGGCCACTGGCTGTTACCCTGCTGCTAATGAAAATGGGTTCTCACCACACACAGAAATGAAGGCAACCACTTGCTTCCCTTTCAAAATCTAGATTCAGGCTCTAGAAATACAAGGCCTGACACCAATGAAACCATCAAACAAACATACTATACATGTACACACACGTGTAATGCATACACATTGACATACATGTACATACAYTTGTAATATATATGTATATTTATTTATTTTAACTTGCCTCTTTCTTGCAGAGCCATTCAAATCTCTTTTCTGACTGAGCAATGAGAACTATACTTTCTTTTCTTCACAGGACACAAACCTGCTAGCCCAAGATGACACATGAAAAAGATGACATTCTCAAAGTGAACTTACCGAAGCTGCAAAATAATGTGCGAAGCTGTCATGAGGATTCCACTGCACAGCTCCGATGTCCCATTTGCTCTGACGAGAGATTTTCCGGTGACCTTCGAAAGGAGCATCTAGATTGACGATGTACAGGAATCTGCGACTAGGAGAACAACATCAGCATTACAGCAATATAGCAACAGAGCCACACTAGCACTGGAGACAGAAGAGCACACTTAGAATCACATATGATCTGCAAACAGTGCTCCTAAAAACCCCAGATGCACATGACATTTATCTACTCTGAGAGGTATACAAGGGAAAAGAGTAACTCAAACTGGCAGTTAAGCAAAGGGAGCAGTATCTCGGTGAGTGTCTACCTCCAAAGGTAGCCTTCCTGACCATATGCACCCCTGAGAGTCTATCTGCTTGCCCTGACTTGAGCTCCAACCTGCCCTCTCCAAGCCCTTCCCAAGGCCCCAATTAGGGTCAATTACTGCTTCCACATTGTATCCTGGGACATGGACAGCATTTACTTCTATAGCAGGACTACTAATGTGTCTGGAGTATGGATGGACCATGTCTTGAACATCTTGGTATGGTCCACATCAGTAAGCACAGTGCTCTACACTCAATAAATGTGTGTTAAATTACACACTTCATTTATCACCTAGCTAACCCCTGCAGAAAAATCTCAAACTCCTCTGCAAGACTACTACATGGAAACTAAATTAAATCTATCAGGAAGGGAAATAAAAACCCAAGAAAAAAAGATAACACAGTAAGTACCAATAATGTTAAAGATATCAACCAATCTAAATTATCTGAAAACAAGGATGCACTGTGTTCCTCTATTTTTCAAGTTAAAAAAAAAAATCTTGGTATATGAATCAACATCCCCGCAGTCATCCTCATTAGAGAGAGCTCTGAGCCCCTGGCTATCAGTAAGAACAGGTAAGCTCAAAAATAAAATGATCAGTAGCCCCTGTTCAGACAAATGGGTTGTAAAATTCTAGATGGCAGGAGAAATTCTAAAGAGCTTAAGGCAGAAGAAGGATAATGGGGAAGATACAATTTCACAAAACTTCCAGGATTTCTAAGAAAGTTAATGCAGAACAAAGATCTTGAACGAACCTCTGGCCTCCCCCAAAGCAATCACCTGCGCCTGCAGTAGACAGGCTGGCTTCTTCCATTAGAAAGAAAAACAGTACAAGGACAAGAGCTTGGCACACAGGTGTATCACCAGGGGGTTCAGATACACTATGGAACAAACGGAGAAGAGCAGAAAGCGGGCACTTCAGATGAGCATGGCTGGTGAAACCTGGGTTTACCTTCAYTCCCCTGAAGCCTCACTCAAGTAAGAGCTAAAAAGAAAGAAAGAAAAGAAACTCACAAAGGTACACAAAATGGAAAGCAGATGGACAGATGGTTAACTGATCTAGAGTAAAGAAAGCTAAATAAAGTTCAAGTGCTGGCRAGGGGAGGAGCCCGAGAAGCCATCTGGCTCACACTGCAGGACCTGCAGGACTCCTCAAGGTAAGGACAGGGGAGCACTGGGAGACAAACAAACAAACAAACAAAAAAAAAGCAGAACAAAATACAAGAATTGTTTGAAAGTACACTAAAGAGAGAGGTTTATATGGCCCTCAAAAAGCCAGGTGAGCCACCTCTCCTTCACCCCAGGTGGAAGGTGGGTGCTGCTATTCCCTAGCCTGGGATTAGCAGCACAGCACAGCTGCTAAATTAAGGTGCTGTACTCAAAACCTGGCAAAGTGAGTACGAGGCCTCCAGTCCCTTCCGTTACTGGTATGGGGCCCTCACACTGCCACCTTTTATCCTTTAGACAACACTTTTATAAAAAAAATATTTTTTTAGTTATAATTGGACACAATGCCTTTATTTTATTTATTTTTATATGGTGCTAAGGATCAAACCCAGTACGTCGCACATGCTAGACGAGCACTCTACCACTGAGCCACAACCCCAGCCCCTTTTTTGACAACACTTGTCAGGTGAAAATGASCAGTCCTCCCAAAACATAAGCAACCACAAACAACACCTTGGACACAGGGTTACCTGGGCACCCACTAACAAGAAGTCCCAGTTCCTGCCTGATCTCCCTAAAATGTGCCCACAGCCACCCACCTAGACAGCCACTCCGATCACTCTTCAGTGTGAASAGAGAGCCAATCAGCTTAGTCACTGGAGGAAACCTGAAAGAGACGAACAGTGGGGGGGGGGGGAGGAACTCAATGAGAACAGGGGTAACATAGAAGAAAGAAAAAGCCTGGAATCAACATTCTCTGAGTTAAGAGAATATTGTAGATTGTAGAGTACATTAAAATCATAGTTGAAGTTTTTAAGAATCTTGAAAATTTCTGAAAATTAAAATAGTTGAAATTTAAGAAAATCTGATAGAAGGAATGAATGTTAAAGTTAGAAACTCCCAGGATGCAAAGCAAAAGGACAAAAAGGTCAGAAGAGAATCCACAGAAAAGCTAACACTGACTAATAGGACAAAGACTAATAGACAAAGCAGTCACGGTGAAAATTTCACAAACTCCAGAGATAAAGATAGGATTTTTAAGCTTCCAAAAAGAAAGATAAGTGACAAAGAGCCCAGAATCAGAATGGCACAGGACCTCTCACAATAATTCTGAGAAAAAAACCCTCAAATACTGAATCAATCCAATGACTGTAATAGAGCTGTATTAGAAAAAGGGGAAAGGCCAGGTAGGTGTGCAAGAGTGTAGAAAAAGAACCAATCCTCATCTTCTGGTGTAAGGAGTCAATTTATAATGTTCAAGATGGATAAAACCAGCTGGAGTCATTCATGTGCACTAACTGGGAAAATGGAGGCAATCGAAAGGCAGAGCTAGAGTCTGAGATATGAGTTTCCAGCGGAACCAGGGAAAAAGTGAGGTGGAGACCACTGTTCTTTAACATAAGCTTTGTAGTGCTACACTACTATTAAAACATTTACAGGTATTTCCTTGATTAAAAAAAAAAAAAAAAAAAAAACTGGTACAAAGAGTGAGTATAAATCCAGGTGGCACACGCCTGTAATCCCAACAACTTGGGAGGCTGAGGCAGGAGGATCTCAAGTTCAAAGCCAGCTGCAGCAAAAGCAAGGCACTAAGTAACTCAGTAAGACCCTGTCTCTAAAATAAAAAATATAAAACAGGGCTGGGGGTGTGGCTCAGTGGCTGAGTGCCCCTGAGTTCAATCTCAGCCCTGCAAAAAAAAAAAAAAAGTGATTATGAAATTAAAAATGTAATATACAAAAAAACACTAAATTACACTCTTTTAGGGGTGGGGGGTTCTGAAGATATAACCCAGAGGCACTTTACCATTGAACTAATATCCCCAGCCCTTTTGTTGTTGTTATTGAGACAGGGTCTCACTAAGTTGCTTAGGGCATGGCTAAGTTGCTGAAGCTGGTCTTGAACTTGTGGTCCTTCTGCCTCAGCCCCCTGAGCCACTGGGATTACAGATATGAGCCATATGCCCAGCTAAACTATACTCTTTTAAATAAGTGAATTACATGTAATTCATATTACATGTATATATTAATTGTATCTTAACAAGTTGTTTTTCAAAAACTGACCAGGAAACTAGAACTAAAAGAGAGAAATACCAATATTTCCTTATCCATGTGCCTAGTGTCACAAAAGAAAACAATGTCAATAATATCTTTAGTCAGAACGTAGGAGGAAAATTTTCCATGATACATCCTTTTGAACTATTTAAATGTTTGCTATGTGCATGTGCTTTTTTAAAAAGGTAAATTAAAACAATTTCAAAATAAAATAATGAAGGTAAAATAAAATATTTTCACTGATTTGTAAATAGGTTCATAAACAACTAAGTTAATTAAAAAAACAACTGAATTTGAGAGGTAGGGATAGTAACCCAGAGCAATGTGAAAGGGAAGGGAGGACCCTGCCCATTAAATTTTATTCTGGTACAATACCAGGGTTATTACAAAGGCAGAGATGAAACTTAATTGCCAGAATCTTCTTTTTTGAGCTTGAAAACACTACAGAAGCCTGTGATAGCACATGCCTACAATACCWGCAATATAGGAGGCTAAAACTGGAGGATCGGAAGTTCGTGGTTAGCCTCTKAAACTTAGCAAGACCCTATACCAAAATTAAAAAAATAAAAAATAAAAAGAACTGGGGATGTACTCAGTGATAAATTGTCCCAGGTTTAATCCCCAGAACTGCAAAAACAACATCAACAAGAATAACAAAATCTAATAACATTACAGAATACTATGTAGTTTAATTTCTTCTTGATGGAATTGAATTCCTTCATTAGAAAATCAAAATGCAGGGCTGGGATTGTGGCTCAGGGGCAGAGCACCTGCCTAGCATGCTTGAGGCACTGGGTTCGATCCTCAGCACCACATAAAGATAAATGAATAAAATAAAGACATTCTGTCTATCTACAACTACAAAATAATAATAAAAATGTAAGACTTTGATAGTTTGTTAAAAAAAAAAAAAAAGAAAGAAAGAAAACCAAAATGCAGTTAGGTCAACTGAATAAAAGTGCAGGGGTTGGGGTTGCTGGGAGTGGTGGCACACACCTATAATCCCAGCAACTCAGGAGGCTGAAGCAGGAAGATTGCCAAGTTCAAAGCCAGCCTCAGCAACTCAGCAAGACTCTAAAATAAAAAAAAGTTAAAAAGGGCTGGGGGGCTGGGGCTGTAGCTCAGTGGCAGAACACTTGCCTAGCATGTGTGAGGCACTGAGTTCAATCCTTAGTACCACATAAAAATAAATAAAGTAAAGGCATTCTGTCCATCTACAACTACAAAAAAAAAAAAAAGGCATGGAGGGGCTGGAGATGTGGCTCAAGGGTTGCGTGTCCATGGGTTTAATTTCTGGTACCAAAAAAAAAAAAAAAAAGTCCACAGGCTTGTGATTAGTGGCACTGCCAAAATAGAACCCAGATTCCCTCAATCCTAGTCACTACCTATCCGACCATACCAGATAGCTTTCTTGAAAAGTCTATGCAATAAACACAAAATTGCAATTTCAAGACCACTACCAGTCACTAAAATTTTGATGGAATTCTGCTGCTTACCTGTTAGGTCAGAGACAAAAATAAATAGTGAGTAACCTCTACAAGTGTCCTGTTTTCACTAGGTTGGAAGAATTAAACCCTGTGATCATAATCCTTAAATACCAGGATATTTTCCAATTTCCCAGAAACCTAACTTGCAATTTGTTCCCCAGAAATTGTGGCAGACACATTCCCCAAGCTCACTTACCCAGAAAGCACTGCATGCTGCCCAAGACAGTCCACAGACATTGCAGTTGCCTGTGAGAGAGAACACAAATTAAGTCCCGCCAGCAGACCCTGCTCAGGTGGAGAAGGCTGGTGTTCCTTTTGAATGTGGATCTTCCTCTTCCCATCTCCCAGGCAGTCCCCAGCTAGCAAGTATCATTAGTTCTCTACAGTGGATACTTTGACTCCCTTCTAGTTCCCACCAAAGTTTCATGTTGACAACATGGCAGTTTCTATCAGTTACTAGCCCTCAGGGAGTCTGAGCAGCATGATAATCAACAGCTACAATGCACCAAGACCCTTTCCCAAGGGGAACCTATCCTGGGACACTGGCCCCTCTGCACACACAACGCACCCAGGCCTTTCCCAAGGCCTCAAGCGACAGGGCGGCTGGTATTATTCAAATAACACCCCGCTGAATCTGCGGTCATATTCTTGTTACTATGATGCCTAGTTCACATTCAAGATGAAATTTCGAGTGCATTTTTCTGGTTTCCATTAACTAGGTCTCCAAATTCCTTCTGAGCACCAACACCGCAGGATCCAAAGCCTAATTCCCAAAAGATGATGCTGAGTCCAGTGAATCTGCATCTAAGCTGAAACAGGAGGCTGATTTGAATCCTGGCAGTTGCGGTCCTAAATTCTCTGATTGGGACAAGTTCAAGTGCTGCTGCATTTGCATGTCATTAAGTCGAATTATTTGTGCCGTTTAGTTATTAAAGGTTCTAAGTCTTGATATTTCTGAGAGAATATCAAGAGAATCCATTTTGTACATGCTGTCACAAACACAAATGGCAAGCAGAAATTCTCTCCCTTCCCCTCACTGGCCTTACTACTGGGTTTCACACACTTGTCCACCCTCGAGAAACGTCAAAGGTAACACTGGGGACAAAAAACCAGAGTGCCCTACTGGAGGCTCAAAAGTGTGACCTTCATATTATACTAGAGTCATGAGCAGAGAAAGGCCCAGCTGGAAAGGCAGGCCATGAAACAAGGTGCCACTTCCAGAACTCTTCTGTGCAGCTTCTAGATGAATGTTTTGAAAAAAGACAGGATGGTTTCTCCCGTGAGGGCAGTGTGATCTTTTTTTTTTTTTTTTTTTTTGAAAAAGGTAAAACTTTTAATAGCAAGATGTGTATATTCAAATGGAAAAAGCAGATTCACTGATACATAATAAAATTATGAAATATCCTTCTCCATACACTCAGCAGTTACACTTTTTCTTCTCTACTTTACCCTGCCACCTTTCCCCTGTACATTTCTGTTACTTTCCCCATCTGTTCCTTGGACAGATTCCTTCCTCCCCCCTCAGTAATACAGAATCTTCACCCTAGGGAAACAACAATGACTATCATTAAATTTTTAAAATATGCCCTTTAACCTTCCTAACATCTGGGTAAGACCACTCCTTTCCCCTCATCCCCAGTTAGCTCCCACTCTTCTGGACAGACATGATTCGTCAATTTTCTAGATCTATGTTGGGGTGAGGAGAGTGTAAGTTTCAGCCACCTATGTTGTTTTCTCCAATAAGTCTTTCAAAGTGGGTACACAAGAAATAAACTTCCTAAATTCTTCCATATCAAAAAATATCTTTGTTTTAACACCCTGGAAATCAAATGCCAATTTGGCTGGATACAGGATTCTGGGCGAAAGCCTTTCTGTAGGTGTTTTCTTTTTTCTTTCTAGAAGCCTTTAGGATTTTCTCTATCACTACAATTCAAAAACTTTACCAAGATGTGTCTCGGAGTGAGTCTGTTTTTGTCAATCATGCTGGGGATCTGGTGAGCACTCACTATCCCAAGACTAGAATCCCGAAGCTCTGGAAAATTTTCTTCAATTATTTCCTGCAGAATGTCCTCTGCTTCATTCTTTCACTCTCTTTTTCTGAGATTCCTATCAAATGGATGTTGGCACTTTTTAATCTATCCTCCTTCTCCCTTAGCATTAATTTATTATCTGATTGGCCACAATGTGTATGATATCCCTAGAGAATTGTGCCATTTCATCATCTAGATTGCAAAGTCTTTCTTCAAGGATGTCTATTCTACTCCTCAGATCATCTATTGAACTCTTAGTTTCCAAGATACCTGGAAGGCATTTTTTAGTTTTTCCAATCTCTTCTCCCATCTGTCTGAGGACACCGATCACAGTTGTTCTATAGTTTGTTTCCGTTTCCTGGATTAGGTTCCCCCCCTTTGGATGTTTGTGTTCGAAGAATCTTCTGCATAAAAAATCCTCCTACTTCCTCTTCCTTCTCATTCTCAGAATTCCATACCTTACTGAACACCWTAATCTCTTCATCAGCTCCCATCTTTCCCAACACACTTGTTGCAGGAACAAGGTGACACATAACATTGAGTCATCTTCGCCCTCCTCCTCTTCCTCCC